TGCGTGCGTGCGTGCGTGTGTGTGTGTGTGTGTCTCTGTGTTTTTGTGTCTCTGTGTCTGTGTGTCTCTGTGTCTCTGTGTCTCTGTGTCTCCGTGTCTCTGTGTCTCTGTGTCTCTGTGTCTCTGTGTCTCTGTGTCTTTGTATCTCTGTGTGTGTTCATCTTTTAGGAAACAACCGACGCCATCCACTTCGAGGCGTTTTTTGGTTTGTTTCCTGAGCGAAAATAGCGGGGGGCCCCACAAAATGGTGGTTTCCCGGTTGCTTGCCATTTGAACTCATGTAAGGGTGCCCCAGAAAGCGCCCGACGCCCGTTTTGAGAACCGCGGGCCTCGGAGGTGTTGGAGCGGGAGGCGCTCGTGGGCTTCGCCGCGAGCGGCGCGGAGCTCCGGCTGCAGCGGCGGCTGGGCGACATGAGCTTCGCGGGGCTCGTGGGCTTGCTGAGCGCCAGGCGGGTGGCCTGAAGAAAAGAACGTCGGCAACACGCCACGGCGGGGGCCTTCATGGCGCTTAATTAGCGGGTTCGGGGCAGCAAAAAACCAAGTGAACAATAGAGTTCCCAAAGTCTCTGCAAGAAATGGTGCGTTGAATTGGTGATTTGAACCCAATTGGAAACCACCCCGGAATACCTCCAAAACCTTCAATCCAAACCACAAATTGGGAGGCTGAAACAGGTGATGTCTCCTCTTGGTGGTACCCTTTTTGGTTGAATTTAGAGCGAAACCAAAGGCACGCTCCGTTGAATTCCGACCACATGTTTTGAGACAGAAACTGGGACCGGAGACGCCCAAAATCCAAGGAACCTCAGAAGGAGGTTCTGACGGATGGTTAACGTTGGGATCGGGCTACCTGCCCCAGGTACACATCGCCTGAGCTGGCTCGGCTGGTCCAGGAGGCGGCCGAGCACATGCGCACGCTGAGCACGTCGGATCAGATTCCCCACCAACCCGCAGGAATTATTAGGTGGCCATTGGGTGGCTAGTAGGTTAGTAGGCAATTAGTGGCGGCTAGCGAGCGGCTAGCTGGTTAGCGCGGGTCGATGCCCTGCGCTGAATACATTCAAGAGCCAGGCCTCAAGCGACAGGCCCACTTTCGACTTTTGACCTGTCAGTACTACTGTTTCCATAGCCAACAGTTGTCAGGTTTTTGTTGATGTGTACAAAAGGGCACCCAAGTGGGATGGATATGTTTCTTCTTTTCCCAGACCCCGTATGTTATGTTTCTTCTTTTCCCAGCCAATTCCCCAAGAGAGCACCCACATGTCTTGGTTTGCGATCATGGTGAAGGTTCTTCGCATGGCCCGTGATTGTTGGGTAGCTGAAGCTTTACAACTTTTTGCAGAATTCGATCAGAGTCCAAGGCGACGGGTAAGCTTCCCCAAGGAATCCTTCAGATCTCATCCCAAAGCAAGCAATGCCAGCATTCCGGCAACCATCTTGTCTCCAACTTGCCAGTTCATTTTCCCCCAAAAAGCAAAGGCTTTTCGTCGCCAGTGAACGGTCAAAAGGTCAGGACATGCTGAGTTGATCCATCCGACGCAACCCCCGCATTTCTGAAATTCGGACGAATCTGAAATTCGGACGAATCCGAATTACGGGAAGCTCTGATCGGCTGACCTTATGAAGCTCAGGGTGAAGCATAGAAGGCATTTCTCTTTTTTTCCGGTAAGCTTCAGGTGGAGTTCAACTCATTTTCGGGCTTTCCCCCTTTCACCAGCCTAATTATGATGTTTGCATTGTTTTGGTGAATTGTTAATCCATGATCAGACACGGGGGTCGTCTTGCAGCCACGGCACAGCCAAGTGTTTAATGTGCAGCCGGCTATTTAAGTTGCGCCAGATCTCACGCATCGGATCAATCTGCAGAAATGGCTATGACGTTTCATGCTTCAACAGCGCGAGAGACGGACACCTTGATCCACACCTAAATGCTGTCCAGCAAGGGGTCCCGATTAAGCTTCACACCATTGGAAGGGGCACTCAACGATTCGGGGCTAACAGCGATGAAGGTCCCTGGCATTGGTTCGGATCGTGGGTCTACTCACTTCCCAAGTCCGGGACTTGCTTAACCCGAACCTCAAGAGCGGTGAGGCTTCGGTCTGTGACCTCAATCTGAAGGTTTTGCAGGATTCCCCTCCTGTTTGTTTGTGTTGTTCCTTGCTGCATGCATGATGATCAGTTCCATGATTCCCATGTTTGCTCGAAGAGGACATTCTTCATGACATGAGCAGAACTATCTAAACAATGTTGCTTGCGTGAAAACCTGCATCACTCAAGGCGCAAGGAGCTTGACAGTTCAACAGGGAACCTGCAACATGTTCTGGATGAATGAGACAGGCGCAACGGTGACATTTTTTTCCAACCCACCAAACACACGCCCGTGTGGGTGTTCGGTGCATTTCGGTTGGGGCCCTACAGCAGCATGCTCAGGCAGTGAGTTGGTCGGGATCGAACATTTGCAAGCCGACCTGGACTGCGTTGGCTGAAATGGGCGGTGAGTGAAAATTTGGTACCCATGGCAAATAGAACCTTAAGGACTAAAACCTGCGGTCCACTGGTGGTTGAATTTTGACTCTTGACCCATACCCAAATGATATCCAAGTCAAGGGAAGCACCTGTCCGACCAAGCCAGTCACGCCTATCACGCTTCTAGCTGTGACGTCTTGGGCCCCCGGCTCCAAGATCGTCCAGGAATGCGCTGTGCATGTTTTTCGTCAGGCTGGCGGTGTAAGGGAACTCCTAAAATGGTCGGTTTTCCGGTCGGTTCTCCTTTCAAGCCAGCCCAAAGAAAGTACCAACAGCAAAGACACGCCAAGCCTTTCGGGTGAGTTCAGCCAGTTCCTTTAATTTGGCTGTGCCCACCTTGGCACTGTTAGCCTCGCCCAGGTGTGCCGTTTGGTTAGCAAGGCCAATGTCGTTGGTGAGTTGTTGTCTGTAGGAAGCTTGGAGGTTCATCGGCACATCCGGGAACCAAGAAGGAAGGTTCCACGGCGGCGAGTTTAGATCGGGCAGTCCCGAATGAAATGCAGCTGTTCATTTGGTGCTGCCTGTGGCAAAAAAGTTCGTGTGCCTCCTGGCATGCTGCGAAGGCCGAATTTCGTGTTTTTGGTGGACGCAGCAGCTCGGCAAGATGCACACCTCCCTCCCAGTTTTTGATTCACTGGCGGTTTTGGGCGCGGAATGGGGATGCCATGCGTGTTGGGTAGCTCTGGAGAGCGCGAAATGTTGTTTGAGGGAATCTGGAAGACAGTTGGGTATGAATTTCAAGTGGGGGACCCTTTGCTGGATATCATGTGGGGTGTCCGCTTGTCAAACCAACGCGATGCGCTGCGACGTCACATTTCGGGGGGTTGGTTGGTGAATTATAAGTTACCCAGATGAAGGTTCGCCGAGGAATTTCTTGTAGGTTGGCGATTCATCATGGGGCCAGCGTTGTTACGGAATCTAAAGTGATTGAACATGGCCATTTATTCTTGGAACCGACACCATACCCCGGTTCCAGCAATGGAAGTGCACAGGAGCGCCTTGGAAGATCGGCGTCCTCTTCAAACTTGCCCCTGCAGTTTCATGGTGTATGTCGGTATGCAAGAGCTCTAACCAGAGTCTTTGCTCCGAACAGCACCTTCCCTGTCAAGTGATCCGAACAAATCGGGCTTGAGCCCCCTTTTATATTATATGCGGGAACAGAAAAGACACCACCCATTTGAGGCCCGCGAGGTTTTAGAACTCCCTGAATTCTGTTTCCAGCCCTCGACACACTTCAGGCCTCCGTTGACAGGCCACAGCGGCAGGACGGGAACGACGGGGATTGACGGCTGTTTTCTAGTCAGTGGATCTGTTAGAGCAGCTCTAAACGGATTCCGATCGCCTGCACCAAAGGAACAGTCATCTAGCGTCCGAAAAGAACCAATTTGTCAGAGCCCTTGTGTGTCTCCTAAACGTGAATGCATTTCATCCTCCATCAGCTCGCTTGTCCACTCATCCCCCGCAAAGCATCGTGCGAAACTCATATCCACTCTGAGGAACCCTGGCGATCAAACCATCGCCGATTTTTGCTTTTTTGGGGGAGGACTATCCTTTGTGACTGGCGCGAATCCTGAATTGACCATCTCGGCAGGCAACTTGGTGACCACTCGTTTCGCTTGTTGTTGATTGACTTCCCCAGTCTGCCAAAATGGGCCCCCTTTTTTCTACCGAACGGGTTGGGAGACGAAGTCTTGTGGAGGGTTGCCCCGAAGTTTCGGCGGCGGACTCTGTTCGACATCAACACTGTTGGAATGGCTGTCTGAGCAGAAAGGACGAACCATACACACCACAGGACATACAATTTTCCCTGGGACCTGGTAGTCCATAGAGAAAGGAAGTTGACGCCTAGTCGTGGGCACTTGCCAACAACAAGCCTAGTCCGGGATTCTTAGCTGGACCGCATCTCTCGCCTGGGGCAAAACGAGTTAACCAAAATGTAGGTCCTTTTGGGAGATCCTTTATTTTAGGTGTTGGAATTGTTGTAAAATCAGCGGAAGAAGATTGGACACGGTTAGATGAGCTGGTGGTTGCCGAAAATGCTACACTCCCTCGAAGTTCTTGCAGGGTCAACGACTTGGGAAGCACTGCAACTCGTTTGCGGGAGAAGATGGTCTGCCCAAATGTTCATTCTATTTGTTCCGAATGTTCAGCCAAAGGGACGCGGATCTGTTTTTAACTCACTTGAAACTTGCTGTTTTCGGCTCAAGGGTTCCAAAACAAAATATGAAATACCGCCAGCTGGGTCATTGTTTCCTCTAACCCAAACTTGTTTGGCACCAGAACTCATCCCCCCCCCCCCCCGAGCGGATCTGGTGTCTATTTATTTCGGCACCAAAGCTCTCTTCAATTCCAGGTTTTTCAACAAGGGCCAAAGGCAAGCCCAGCTCACACGCCGAAAACCCAAACCGCCAAAACAAAGGTTGTTGCACTGGTTTCTACTGATTGGCATCTACCCGTCGATGTGATTGCGACATCGGCATGTCCGCGGTGAAGCTTGAGAAGACCATTGCTTCTTGGCTCTGAGGGTCCGCGTTTTTGTCTCCATGTTAAGGAGGGTACCCAACAGTCAAACCACCAAGGTCACCAAACGTAGCCACCAATTGGTGGCAAGATGACAACAGTTGCAGAAGCTGTCTGGAGGATTTTGGAATACTATAATGCTATTGAACAGGCCTGGGCCAAGTTTGGTGTAGGCTTTGAACCTTGAGCTTGAAATTCATGGACATGGCGTTCAACCACTTCAAATGAAATGGCGCTGTTCAACCTCTGCCAGTAGCAATTTGTTTCAACTCTTTTGCAACCAACTTTTTGAAGCGCCAATGTGCATCTCAAAAGCCGACGTTGAAACCGGTGACGTTCAATCCACTTTTCGGACGCCCAGCTGAAGGCGCAGTTGGAGAGACGCCTGCTGGAAGAACTGCAAACCACAGTGGAGCCTCTGGTCGCCAGGCGGGCGTTGTGAAAATTTTGGGGTAGGTCTTCGGAGGGGAGTCAAATGGCCATGGGTCAAAGCCCAAATCGCATCCCCAGTGAACATCCGAATCCCCACTAAAATAGACTAAAATGGAGTTGCACCTACCCCAAAATGGTACCATTGGTTTTAACCCACGGCCAAATGTCTTCCCCATGCCCCAGAGTTGGCATTCACGTGTGCTGCTCGGCTTTTTGGTGTGACCGCTATAGCCAACAAGTCAATCTGTGCGGGTCTGTGAGTTTCTCAGGTCGCTGAGTGAATTATGTTATGGGTTCCGGAGCTCTGAGGCACGTGGCTCCTGTGCCCATTGTTTGGCGACCGTTGACGCTGCTGGGGGCGGGAAGGAACCACAGGGCTTTAGAGCTACTTCAATCAAGACCAAGCGGCTTGGTTAGGGTCTTTGCCATAGCGGGAACCGCCCTTCGAGTTTCTGGGCCAAATGCTTCTTCAACATCCGGCTTTTGACTCATCCAAAAATTGTTGGAGCGGTGGCTGGTGTTCGGAGGGAAGCCAATTGGGTAAAAGGCCAAAAAGCGCTGCGCAGGTTAGACTATTTGGAGGGCCTCCTTCAGGGCAAGAAGCCATCAGAGAAGAATGTGGAACTGGAGGTGGATCTGCCTGGCGAGACGCGGGAGTTCAAAGCGAGCTGCTCCTGAGCCGAAGTGGCAAACTCGTCCGAGGCTTCTTCGGATGTCGACGGCCTTTTGTTCCCGTCGATAAGCAGTTCTCTAAATTTGCCGTGATTTCTTGCAGGGTTCCTTGCTGGGGTTCTTTGCCGGGGTGAATGTTCTGGTCGCAACACTGGTTTGTTCCGAAAAGTGGTTGCGTTATAAGAGGGATTTTGAAATTACTTTCGAGGTTAGGATGGCGCGAGAAGTGGGCGTGAAAAAGCTTTGTTCTCTATGGTGCCTCGGGCCCGTGAAACGGGTTCGTTTTTATGCTGTGGTATTTGTTCTGAAGGATCGTTTTTTGTGGCTTTAAACCTGGATCTTCATTTGGCATGTTTTTTTGTGCGTTTTTTATTATTATTACTTTTTTCTGTTCCCACCCCCCAAACGCATTCTTTTCAGCAAAACAGCCATTTTGAGGAAACGCACGCTTTCTTGGACAACGAGCGTGTTTTTGGGGACCTTGTGCACAAAGGTGTGAAACAGCAAGACTCCGTCCAAACAATTAGGCCGCACAACAGGTGCAATTCCCCGCACAAGGCCGCAATTTCGCGCAAACGGGCGCAATTTCAAGAAGCGTACTTGTTTGCTATTATTTTTCCTTTCGTACTGATGAAAGCGATCACTTTTTGTGCAAACGGCATGGTTTTCACGAAAACGGACGGATTTATTTCCGAGCAGAACAAAAAGTGCAGTTGGAAGATCCAGGAATGCTTATATTGACACAGTAAAGGGCTTTCCAACTTTGGTGTTTGCATATACCGACCCCTAATTTGTTTTCGGAGATATTCTCTTTTGCCAGTTGGTTTCATAGGCAAATGGTCCTCCTTATGTTTCCCAGTGGTAGCACCTTAGGCCTATTTGACAATTCAGGTCATATTGTTTGGTCAGTTTGTCTTGCTTGTTTGGTACATATTGTATTGGTATCCCCGTCTTGTATGTTTTCTTCTTTAGTTTCGCTGTGCAGAGTCCACTTGCGTTCTGGTCAGTTCATGGTCCGGTCCGGTTTGGGTTGTCCAGGTCTCGTGTGAGCACTGTTTTACAGTCCCCCAGAGTGCTTCCGCCATCTTCCGCCCGTTCCAGGTTTCCTTCTCTTGGGAAGATCGCCAAAACTGCAGGGAATTGGGGTTTGTTAGAGGAAGGAAGGGATAGAATAGGGGAGCAACCCATCGACAATTTTGTGCTTCTTGTACCCAAACAAAGCACACATCCCTTGCCAAACCATCAAGGGCCGAAACAAACAGATGCAAACAGAACAAAGCAGAGGAGTCCTTTTTTCTGCGCGTTTTGTGAGGATTCCTGTTTGGAATTTCCCAGGTCCTGTGGTGCCAACGGCGGAGCCATCCGCGGACGGCGTCGAATTTGCAGGTCCGGTGCGAAAGCGGCAGACCATCATGAAAGTGGAGGCGCGATCCCCGAAAGTGTGGCAGGGCTGCCTCTTCCCTGCGTTCCTATCCCGAAGGAATATCTCGACTATCCTTTTCCCTGCGTTCTCAATCTCCCAGGGAAATTTCATGGGTCGAGGCAGGTTTCCCCACTGCCTACGCTTGTTTGGCAGTTTCCTGATTTTGGCATTTGCTCCACCTATTTAATGGCGAGATTGCGGATCGCTAAAACGAGCGAAGTCCCTGTATGCTTCCAATTCAACTGGGCTCAATATGGGTATGGGTCAAAATTAAACTAACAGGGGACCGCAGGTTTTAGTCCAGGGTTCCATTTTGGGTTCCTATTTTTGACCCACAGCCATACAACCACCATTGCTTGCCAAAAGATTGTCATCTTAATTGGGTCCTTGCCATTCTGGGGGTTGAACCCTGGGGACGTAGTGAAGCGAGGAGCAAAAATTGATTGCAAGAAGAAGAGCAAAAACGGCTCTACCAGTCCCTTTGCTTGCTTTGTTTTTCTTAAGAAGAGAACCAGACACATGTCCCGCGATTGTCCGCTAAATTGGGTCCTTGCCATTCTTATGGGGCTTGAATACCCTACAAAAACGTAGTGACATGCACAAAAAATCCCATGCACCTTCTCATGGGGGTTGAATTCCCTACAAAAACGTAGTGACATGCACAAAAAATCCCGCCTTCTCATGGGGGCTGAGTTCCCTACAAAAACGTAGTGACATGAACAAACAACCCGCCTTCTCATGGGGGTTGAACTCCCTGCAAACACGTCGTGACATGAACAAAACCATTTCGCCAGGGGGGTTGAATTCCCTACAAACGCGTCGTGACATGAACAAAACCATTTCGCCAGGGGGGGAATTCCCTACAAACAAGTCGTGACATGAACAAAAAACCCAAAATCCATCGCCAGGTAGTCGACATGAAAACAAAGTCAGGTGGTGGACGAAGAGCCCATCCCCTTCGCGGAAACCGTGTGGAACGTCACCTTGGTCCTGGGCCACACGGGCGCGGGGTGGCTGGACGTGGCCTCCGCCTGCTTCCTGACGCTGCTGAGTACCTTCATGCAGGTGGCGCCTTGGAGATCCGTCTTTTTTTTTTTTTCTTTTTTTTCCGGTTGTGAAGTTACCGCAAATGTTGAATGCTCTTTGATGTTTGAAGTATTGCAAATCTATGTTTTGTTGTTTCCCGTGTTTTCTTCTTGCCCCTTTTTTATAAGCTATGAATATGTTTGAATTGGTGTATGTGTTTATTTTATGTCTGTTTGCTTTAAAGAAAAAGGATAGTTGTTTTTGAACCATCTATAGCTCACCTGGTCGCCTCCCAAAACCATATGGGAGTCAAACTATGAGAACTAATTATGCGGGTTGATATAATCACCATGGTTTACCATTCAGGAGTTTGAACATTTGATTTGGGTCAAGCATAACTTTAACTGAGGAACTAGCCTCTGTTTTGGATGGTATGATGTCAACCTCTGACTCTTGGGGGAGGTGCGGTTAAATACCATCTGCAGATCGGGTTGTAGCCCAAGGGCGGAAAGCCATGAAGTTTCCCCACTGTGGGTTGCTTGCTTGTCTCATCAAAGGGGTGGGTGCCAACTCGAGCTTGGATTCCCATCAAGATCCCAGGCGTCAACCCGAAGAGCAACCAGGATGTCGAACAGAAAGTCCGTTTTCACCAGGGGTCCCATGGGTGCGGAACATGGAACCCTGTGTGAAGTGGAACATGCATGGGGCAACAAGGTGCTTAAGTCTTTAGGGCTCATTGCCCCCTTCGTCTTCTTCAAGATTTGTTCCTGATCTTTTTTGGGGTGACTAACCAACCTCCGCTTTTTTGCTGAAGTTCACAAACTTACCAACCCTTTGTTGGGTGACTAAGCACCTTTTCTGAGCCCTTCAGGCATTTTCCGGTGCCCAGCTAAGCCCCGGCTCGCTCCAAGCCCGCGCGGCCGCGATGATTTTTCTTCCCCCGAGGTCTTCACGGCGGTGATCTTGTCGGACTACTTTCGTCCCGCCTCCATGTTCGAGCAAACCGGCGCCGCCCAGAAGTGGCGCTCTGCGGCCGCCCACGACGTGCAGCTCGGCCCTCGAGCGCTCGGGGAGTGGCCCTCCGTGGCTACGGATGACCTCAAAATAAATTGCCTGTAAACCAACCTCAACGGGGACCCGCAAAAGGCGCAAACCTGAAAGAAAGCGCGAAAAGATGAAGCCAATTCAACAAAGAGCACCACATCTATCTTCAAAGAAGCCAGCATGTTGGACGAAAGTCCACCAAGTTGCTGGGGTGTTGGGAAAAACTGGCAGAAGTTTTGCTGGAGCATTCCTCACCTCCTGAGTGGCTGTCACGTTGCTTTTTTCGCCACTAAAATTAGAGATCCACCCCCGAAAGTGGCTGAAGTCCAGGAACTCGGGCAGAGAGTTTCCCAACCCCCATGTGAGCTTGTTGATGGTTGGTGTTCATCTGGTTTCCCTTTCAATACAAGCCCAAACAGGAACCAACAACCCATGTGGGAATGTGCCATTCCTTGGACACTCAAACGTGGTGACGGGATTTCTTTTGATGTCCTGTACAAACCAGCCCACACACACGATACCTCAAAACTTGGCGAAGGCTTTTTGGTTTCCCCTTGCACACTAGAACCTGTCAGGTCTCGGAACCGTGGCATGGGCGGCTAAATGGGTGTAACGCAGGAGACCTGGCACCTGGGTTCCTGTGGTTTCCCCTTGCTGTCCCAAGAAGTGTGCCCTCAAAAAGGACGCTCCCACATATCATTTTGTATTTATGTTTTATCAAAATGGAGCGAGATGCCTTTAGGGTGATGTTAAAATCCTTGGTTTCAGCCTGTCGTTTTTGTTTCAGCATCCCGTGAGATCACATGCTGCCAGGCCTGTTTGAGAGGAGGTGCTGCCTGTCAAGTAGTCTATGGTCCAATTGGGACCTCTCTAAGTTTCCCACAATTGGGCCTCTCTCCACCAAGAGGGCAGCACAAGCTCAGCATGATGAGGGTCCTTTAAATAAGAGAGCGCTTATTTCAGGTGGATTTGTTGTGAGACCTTGTCAAACTCTGTCCATGGTTTTAACGTTTCAACCTGTTCAAACGATCCCTCCTTTCGGTTTGCCAGGAAGCACATGGATTTGTCCCTCACCAGCTTGGTGTCGCGTGTATGCAACGACGATGGCTCCTTGATCCTTTCCACCGGCCAGGCGCAACACACAAGGTGTCGATCTTTCTGGGGTCCTCCGAAATTGTGGCTCGTCTTTTAAGGTTGGATCCCCAACATGGCTTCGGTTTTCGTGTTAGTTTTCCTTTGGAGCCACAACAAAGGAATCAAGGTGAGGGATCAGCAGCACGGACATGCACGCTATGGGTCAAGAGGTCATGCCTACTTTGGAGAGTTTGATCTGGGGCCATAGGATCGAACGGGAGGAACCTTGTTGGCCTTCCCGAAGCAACTTATCGTTCGGTAGCACCTTAGTTCCTCTTTGTTTGGGTGCTTCCTCACTACACATGAAATCAACCAAAGCAAGGTTCCAACTCTGCTGTGGAACGGGTCACCTGATAAGTTTGTATTTCTAGGAGAGAGAAGCTGGGCTTTTGTTCCCTGTGCTTTTTGAAAGAAGGACCCCTGGAATGAATGGGGCCCCTCGCATTTTGGTCTATTTGGGTGTTTGTCTCAATAGGGAGCCTTCCCAAACGCGTAGTTGGGCTTCGAATTTGCTTTTGAATCACTGGACAATTCCAACAAAACACGGGGGGGACCTCCAAAGTTATTTTTGTTGTTTTAAAGGAGTGCATCTGGGACAAAGTCCGATTCGTTTTTTTGTTTCTTTCTTTTTTTCCGGGGACAGATATCTCTGGGTGTTTTTCACGGGGAAAAAAAGGAGGTTCCGGTTCCTATGGCAGGCCGGGCTGATCAACGAGATCAATCAGTTCGTGGGCATGAAGCCCCATGAGTTCGCCCCCACCTCGGTGCCTCCGGGCATGACCATGTGCCACTCGGCTCCGACGAAGCGGCGCCGATGCCCAAAACGAGATCGAGGCCCAGGTTGGTTCGGTTCCTATCTGCTTGCAAAATGGGGATAGGAATGCCGCTATGTGAACCTTGAATTATTTGCATTTTGGTGGAACTGTAGGATCAGAATTAGTTGGATTCCTTCTTGGAATTGTGTGTGAAGGGAAGCCACATGGGTGTGTGTTTTTTGCGGGTACTGTGTTTTGGCTGGTTTTTCAAGGACATCAAAAGGAAACACCCTCCATTTTGGGGGTATTGAAAGGGATTCCACAACACCAACCACCATCAAAAAGCTCATGGGGGGGAGGTTAGGAGACTCACTGCCCGAGTTCCAGGACTTCAGCCACTTTGGGGGTGGATCATTTTAGCGACAGAAGCAACTAAACTACTTGGGCAAGCCACTCCGGAGGTGAGCAATACTCCAGAAGGTATCTTAGAAGATGGGTGGTGTGTTTTTTGTTCAGTTGGTTTCCCTGGATCCGTTTATTTTTTCCTAGGGCTGGCTTTTTTACTAGGGCTGGTCCCCTGGTGGGTTGGTTGGTTGGTTGGTTGGTTGGTTGGTTGGTTGGTTGGTTGGTTGGTTGGTTGGTTGGCTGGCTGGCTGGCTGGCTTGTTGGTTGGTTGGTTGGTTGGTTGGTTGGTTGGTTGGTTGGTTGGTTGGTTGGTTGGTTGGTTGGTTGGTTGGTTGGTTGGTTATCTAGCTGGCAAATTCCACCCACAAGCCCGGGACTGAACCAGTGAGGCCCGTTGTCTCCCATGCCCTCACGTGTTTTGCCCGCTGCCCAGCCGTTTTTGTTGGATGTGTTTTGGGCGGCTACTTGTGGCAGAAAGCAAGCAAAGAAACACACACACACACACCCACACGCACGCACGCACGCACCCCCACACACCCACACAACAAACAAACAAACCAACAGACGGTGGAGCGAACAGACAGAAAGACAGGCAGACAGGCAAACAACCAAACCAATAACCAACCAAACCAACCAACCAAACAAACAAACAAACAAACAACCAAACAAACAAACAACCAAACAAACAAACACACAAACACACAAATAACAAACAAATAAGCAAGCAAGCGAACAAACTAAGCAAAATACTAACAAGCTGACAAACGAGCGAACAAAGTAACGAACAAACAAACAAACACACAAACAAACAACAATCAAACAAACAAACAAACAAACATACAAACAAACAATCAAGCAAGCAAGCAAGCAAGCAAGCAAGCAAACAATGACACAAACACACAAAACAAACAAACAAGCAAGCAAGCAAATACATAAAGAAACCAACAAACAACTACGCAAACAAACAAACAATCAAACAACCAATTAGGCAAACACACAAACAATCAGTTAAGCAAACAAACAAAAGGACACACAAACAAACAAACAAGCAAGCAAACAATTACACAAACAAACAATCAATCAAGCAAGCAATCAAGCAATCGCAAGCAACCAAACGAACAAACAAACAATCTATCAAACAGACAAACAAAGCAACAATAACAAACAAACAAACAACCAAACAAAACAAACAAGGAAGCAAACAAGGAAGCACGCAAGCAAGCAAGCAAACAATCAAACAATCAAACAAACAAACACACAAACAAACACAAACAAACAAACACGCAAACAGAGACAAACAAAGACAAACAAAGACAAACAAACAAACAAACAAACAAACAAGGAAGCAAGCAAGCAAACAAACAAACAAACAAACAAACAAACAAACAAACTCACAAACAAAGACAATCAATCAAACAAACGAGCGAACAAACAAACCAACAAACAAACAAGCAATCAAGCAAACAATCAGTCAACCACAAACAAAAACAAGCAAGCAACTCAGCAAACAATCAACGACAGAAGCAAGCAAGCAAGCAATCAAGCAAGCAGGCAATCAAGCAAGCAGGCAACAAAACAATGAGTCAACACACACATTACACCAGAACAGCCCCACGTCCCCCACCACAAGACAACAGCTTGTTTTCTTCAGGTGGTCTTCAGGTGGTATCGGCCCAGGGTTGGGCAAGAAGCATTTCAACAACCAAACCCTGGTTTCCATTCAAACGGAAACCACAAATTATATGCTTGCACCTGTTTGGAGTTTTAGGGGTTGAATCGCACAACCCTGCCAAAGACCCCGGCAGCATTTGTTCCACCCTTAAGGTTTGAATTTTGAAAGTGTGGGATCAGCCCAAGAACGACCACCCGGACTTCTTACAAATACCATGTTGCAAAATTAGTAATTACCACATGCCCTTTTCCGGCCAACGCAAAGCTAAATGTTTTGGTGTAAGTTTCAGGTTGATGCTGTTCATGTACGAAATCCTGAACCACTGTGAAACCATGGGGAACCATTGTGGTATTTACAGCGGAATCGAATCATTCCAAGGTGTCTTAGGTGGTGCAAACAGATTTCGCCCATCCACTGTATATAGGACTTGTTAACGACCTGTCTTAGGTGCAGGATCTTCCATCCACAGTATTGTAGGGATTGTTAGAAACGACCGACCTCAGGCATGATGTGCATCATGCTTTGGTGCATCTACTTGGGCGGCGAGCTCCGTGCCGTTTTGGTGTCCTTGATGGCGGCCAACCAGATCCCGCGCGGTCGCAACTCGGGACTCCCCGAAAGCGCACTACAGGACCCCTGTAGAAAGACGACTTTGATTTTTACACCCGGAACCGAGCCCTATAGGAAAAAAGTCGCCTTTCCTCTTGGAAAAGGGGTAGTGCACTTCCATGTGGGAGGGAGTGTTGTGTTTGTAATTGTTGCCACGTGGACAAGAAATACTCCCTGTTTAACAGAAGCAACAACCGGGCATGTTAAATCGCGAGTTCGAAGAGCGAAACCCATCTATGACGGAGGTTCCACTCTGGGTCCATTTCTGATCTCACAAGGTTGCTGCGTGATCATTTATTTCTGCGTGGTACCCTTCTTGGAACAAAACTTGGATTACGTGTCATTCGGAAGACTGCACTGTGGCTATTCAGATCTGTTTGCTTTTGCAAGTGTGCTTGACCTGCAAGAGAGTCATTTCTTGGTGGTTCCCAGCCGACACCTTGAAGTTTTTGGGTTTTAGGGGTTTAGTGGTACTTCCCACGAAACCACAACCAGTTATACTTTTAGCAGGGCATTTGGGAGCAGATTTTCTCACCTACGACCAGGGTGGCCCCTTTGGCTGTTTCATGTCCAACCCGCGTTTTGGGTTGAATTTGAGTTGCCTTTGGACCTGAGCGAAAAGAAGTCCGAACCTGCAACCAAGCAAGAAGATGCAGTATTCAGAACAAGCTGAGCATTATGTTTAATATATATATATACATATAAACTCATTGTCTTTGCTAAATAAGGAAACATCGTGTCTCCTTTGATTTAAAAGCAGCAAGGAAACACAAAAAGTGCAATAAAGACCACATGGTGTGTTTTTGTTCAATACACAACACAAAATATGAACCAACAGAAACAGATGACAGCCTCACCTCGAGCCGCTGAGCTTCTCAGGCAACACTGTGCTGATTCAGGGCGCCTTCAGCTGCATCTCACGGCTCCGGTTCTTGACCTACTGCCTGGTGCGCCTCACGCGCTTCGGGATCGCCATTTGCGCCTCGCCCGCCAAAGTCGGTGGTCCCATTGGTGTGTCATTCCTCAGGGCCGATGAAAAACCCTTTGAGAAGACCAATTTTTTAGTAAGGGTACATGGTACGACTTTAGTTGGTTGTGGTTTTCATGGTCGCCATGTTCGTATTGTGGCACTGTCTGGCGCTGGGCGATGAAACCCATGGTGTCAGCCAGGAAATTGTTTGAATAGATTCCAGTTTTTCCCTCTTATCGGCCAAACCTCGCCTTACCCTCCCCCCCCAGTTCAGTGCCACCCAACCCCTTTTATTGGTGACTTCCCCGCTGACGACGGCCAACCCCACGAGGGTCACTGGGCAATTGGGCCCCAATGGGTTTTCCATAGTGGAAAGCAACAACTTCCCTGCGGTTTTGCGACCGCATGCAGTGTCCCATCGTGTTTGTCCTCTGTTTGCCGGGCTTTCTATGGATGCTGCGGCACGGTGGCTTCCATTTGGTTCACTAAAGACCGGCTGCTAAAGCTTCTAGCAGGGTCAGTGGGCAACTGGCGAGCCGTCCGGAGAAAGAGAAACGGGAAGGCAAAGCCGTTTTTGAAGTGGCCTTTCTTTGGATATAGGATGGCTTTTCATTTGCTGCGTTGGCGTTGTTAAAACCAACGGCCAGGGTTGCTGCGAGCCGTAAAAAGATGATCAAGCAGCACTAGGGTATAAAGTTGCTGCACGGTTTGCTGTTCTGCTTTACCAGGGACCACATTTCTACACTGATTATTGAACCCTAGCGGAAGTGGTTTTGTTCCTATGGGAAGCTGGTTTCAAGTGGTGCTTTGTTTCTCAGGTGAAAGAGGCTTGGTGGTTCCAGGAATACAGCGAAAACATGATGGCTTTTGTTTTACCTTTCCCTGCTTGCTTCAAAGGAACAGGTCATTACTGGGAAAGAGCTGTTCCGAAAAGGAACCAACACTTCGGCTTCAATTTGTTGTGTTTGCCGTGGGTTTTCTACTACTTGCTTGTTGAAGGCTCGCTGTTCATTTCACCTCTTGGTTTTCACTAGCTTTCAACACGTGTATATTACGTACATATATATGTATATACACACATGTGCAACAATATAGATGCTGTTTGGGTGCGGGACCAACCACCATTGGGTGAAAGTTGTTACTTTCTTCCTGGGTTGTGTTTGTGCTGAGATGGTGCGTTCTTGTTTGACCTCATTGGTTTCAACGAGAATTTGCTTTCGTTGGCTTCAACCAGAACTGCATGAGCGGTGCTGCGTTTAATGGACATTGTAGTGCAATAGAAGGTTTCACAAGCTGATATGTTCGACAAACTTGAATTCCAAAGACTACTATGGAATGCATGTTGCGCGAATTGTTGCCATTGTGCTCCCTTCCCTTTGTTTGCATTTGTTTCCCTTTGCTTGCATTGTTTTCCCTTTTTGTGCGCATTGGTTGTCCTTTTTGTTGGCTTAGTGTTCCTTCGTTGGCCTGGGTGTTTTTTTTTTTCGGCTTTAGTTTTTCTTCCGTTTTTCCATGGGTTTGGGTTTCTTTGGCTTTGGGTGCGTTGCTTAGGTCTGCTCTACGCGGGGATCCTCTGGTTGGCGCTCACCACAAACATTACGGACCTGCGTCTCGCTCAAGGGGGGACGGTGACAGAAGTTTCCGAAGTGGGTAAGGTTCACCCCCTTGAGTTTGATTAGGTGTCCCCTTTTGGTGGGAATCCGGTTCACTTCTGTGCCCGACACCCCCCCAACTAGGGCGGGTTGACCTGAACGGGGATGACGGACAGGGTTTCCGCCATTTCCCATTTTGGAACCTCCCAAAGTGGCAGTTTCCCCTTGAAACCACTTGTGAATTGCAACTTTTCAAGGGGAATCCAGCAACGGTTACTGGATGCCCCTTCAAAAGTTGTAATTGGCTTGGTCAGAGGTTACTGAGTAACCTCTGACCAAGCCGAATTTTGGAAGTTGTGCCATCCACTTTCAACTGTATATTCCTGCTATTGGTTTTTCACAGCACTTTATGAGGGCAGTTAAAGTGAGTTTGCTGCTGGTGGGGTTATGCTTAAGGGGATATTTTAGGGGACCCTCTAGGATTTGCAAGTTTTGAGGGAGGGTTCCTTTTCCAGAAGACCCAGCAACACACCCACACGAAGGTTGGACCAGGGGGAGGCTTTATCTCGATCCGGGTTGTTTCCTCAGAGCAAAGCATCCTTGGAACCTGATTAGAAGGTTTAGGCAACTCAGTCAAGCACAGAACCAAAAGGGAACCTAAAGAACGGAACCTCAGCCCACGGGGGTTTAGACTTCATGTTTGTTTGGTTCAGAAAAGATGGCGGGCAACAGCTAAAGTAGCGATTGTGTCTTGGATATGTTGCGCCATGTTTCCTTGATAATTTCTTATTTAAGGTTTGCGAATTCCAGTATGCCCAGCAAAGTAATTATGAGACTTCATGTCTTGCGGTATGTTGAAATTCGATGAGTCTCCGCTTTCACGACCGACCGAGCTCGTCCCAGAATCCTCAACGCCGTTGCGCTGGGCGCCATTTTGCAAATCGACGAGCTGGTGTTTGCCGCGCTCTTTCCAAAGAAGACTCCTGGCTCTCATGACAAAGCAAGCAGTGTGTGTGCGTGTGTGTTTTGACCTTTCCACCTTGGTTTGAAGGGAATCCAAAGCAAAACCATGGTCCCCGAATATGTTGACCACCCCCCAAGCACATTCAACCAAAAAGTTGGAGTCAACGACCAACGCACTTTCCTTGTGGTGCCTCTTCTGTAAGGAGAAGAGTGTTTTTCCCCTTGGCGCAGGGTCCATTTGCCTGTCTAAGGATTCAGGTGGCCATCTATGAGCTGGAGTCCGTCAGAGTGAAGTACACCAAAAGGCGAGCAACGGCCCAAACTCTGACGGATTCAAAGGGGCCCTGACAAAGATCTTTGCTTTGCTGCATGTGTCTTGGATGTTAGGACTTTAACTTGTTGCCAACTAGTGGGCTTTCCATTAAGCCACTAAAAGTTGAATTTTTAGCAGGGGAGCAGAAAGCAACCGAGTGTGGTTGTATTGGTTTGTTCTGCTTGTAAGGTTGTTTTTTTGTCCGGATGCGCAAGTGAGACCAAGTGCTACGTCAAAAGAAGGCTCTTTGCTGGTTGGTTTGAAAGGGAGGCACCTAAGGCACTGACAAGGTGACTTTGTGGGGCGGACATGGGAGGCACACCCAAATGAAGTATGTCCTATTCGGGCCATGTGCGTTTCCCAGCGCAGACGTCGCTTACGTGGTTTGAGCAACCCGGAGGTGGAGTCAATTGGAGTCTGCTCTGGTGATATTGGTGCTCACCCTCATCACAGTGGGTTCCTTCTTGCTGTGGGTGCAGCCTTTGACTGATCAGATGCTGTTGGTGAAGCAGGAGTACTGCGCAGGGAATCAAGATTTTGTGGTGGGCTTGAACCAGGATTGGCAGATGCTTTGTCTCAATTAGCTTCGCAGTAGTCTCACGACTTTGGCTTCTGGAGATTGAAAAGTTAGAATTGGGGGCGTTTGGATTTAGCCTGCCACTTCCGGGTTGATGGCAAAATAACGGGCCAGCCGGAGGACCCTAACAGAATTAGTACTTCTTTTTCTTTTACTAATCACAGGAATTCTTCATTTTGTTTGACATCCCCATCCACAGGGGCTTGCCAGCCCTGAGTAGGTTTCTCCTTTTGATATTTTCTCCCTGAATCCGAAGTTCACCAGAACCGGTCGCCTTGTTGTTTTCTGTTGCCTTTCCAGTGGCGGCGGGGATTTGTTGGGATATGGGGGATATGGGCGGCTTGAATCCAAGTCTCAACTTTGGCCGGAATGGGATGGAAGCAAACGAGAAATGATTCGCCATGGTGTCCAAGTCCTTTGCAGACTCAAGTCATGACACCTGACAAAATATCTTCAGACTCAACTTCTGACACACCGGCGGCGACACGGAGGGCACGGGTCCGAGGACCTACATGGGCTTCGAGTCGGCTCCCTTCGGCCGCACCGGCGGCACCTCTTTGGGTGAGCTTGCAGCCCTGGAGCATTCCAAGCAGAGGCCTTGTGTCGAGTTGTGACTGGTTGCGGCCCTTTCTGAGGTCGTTTTACTGAGGAGTTTTGCTGGGAAACGGGTGTTTAGACTTCGACTTGTTGGTTGGTATGCTGGATTGCTTTTGGGGAACGGGTCTTTAGACTTTCACTTGTTGGTTGAAAAATATGTTGGGTTGTCCGAATGGAACCCACGAAAGATGTAACCGTTTTGCCAAAGGGGTCAACTGCAACCAAGATGTAACATGTTTGCTAAAGAGAGACTCAATCTGAGGTGTTCCGGTTGTTCCTGAAGGCTGACCGAAAGGAAGAGCGATATCATGTGTTTGGCCTTCTAGTTTGGCACATGCCCAGAAAAGCGGGCAATTCCCATCGGCGAGTCATGTGATGGAAATTGGTTAGTGAGTAGTAAGCAAGAACTGGAATCAAAGATTAAAGGCTTCCCTCTGACACACCCATTCCCATATCACTGTTTCATGAGGAATCTCTTTCTGTGGGTTCCCGTCTTTGACTTTTATGCCAATGTGCCGGGGGAAAGGAGCCTAGCAGGTTCCACACTTTACCTCTTTGATTTCAAGCTTGAACGCCTTTGGGCTCAGCCAAGCACCAGAAGGGACCGATCAATTAAGCTTTTGTGGCTACCCTCAGAACGTCAGTATGTGATATACATGGGGCAATGGGGATGCTCCAAAACAAGATGGCGTTCCTTTTGGTTTCCATTTGAAGCCACCAAAACTGGGGCACCCTCAATATTCACCGACCCCATCAGCCCTTCAATGGCCTCTCCATGTCTCTCTGGCCAGCGAGGCTGTCCAACGGCACGGCCACGTACATCCAATTCTCCACGTCCTTGGACGCCTTCGAGATCGACCGGGTGAAGCCTTTGGAGGAGTTGGCCAACGAGCGTCTCAGCGAGTCGGGGGCTGGGAGAACGGGGGACGCGGGGGTATCGGAACTGATGTCGACCCTCGGATGGAGGGATCCCTCCAATCGTGGGGATTCATCACCAAAGAAGGAACACTGGAATTTATTGGGGTTCATGGCTCGTATGCAAGAATCTCAGGGAAGGTGGGGGAAATGGACATCCAAGCCAACGAAACCAAAACCCAAGGGAGACAGAATAGAACAAGGGGTATGGTGTCAAAGGCAAGTCCGGGGATAAAATGATCTTACTCATGGTGAAGCTTTCACTGGGTTCCCTGTCTTCCGGTTTTGGAGTTATCCATGCTGCCCCAGCTTATTGGGCAATGCCGCCCAGCCTTTGCCATTATTTCCCAATCGGGACCCATTCAGGAGGGAAAAACACGCATAGAACTCAAACAATTGTAAAATTGCAATGGTTTGCGTTCTTTGTGCGTTTCCCTCTGGAAAGGGGGGTGGAAAACAAACAAATAGGATGTAATAGCAGCAGCAGCAGCAGCAGCAGCAGCGGCAGCAGCAGCAGCAGCAGCAGCGGCAGCAGCAGCAGCAGCAGCAGCAGCGGCAGCAAAAATAGCAGAAGAGGCTTCACATGCTTTTCAATAGAATTGGAAGTCAACCCTCTTGGCCCGAATGAGATGCTTTTGGGATGAGTTAGGGCAGGGTTTCCAAGATGACCTCTTAAAACAGCTCCGGTTGTGTTTTCTAGACGGTGTTCTGCGTTACCTTCTGGTACCAATTTAAAACGATGTTCTTTGCTGGTAGGTGTTTGGAGGATATTGTTTTAAGGCTTAGTTGGACGATCTCCTTAACCTGAGCCTTGTCTTGTCCGACTGATTTGGGTGGAGCTGGTCGTCCTTCATTTCTCGGTTTTGCCGCAAGTATAGAGTTCATTACACGCTACCAAAGGTTCGATTGTCAAAAGGAAGCCAGAAGGGTTCTGAGCTCAAATGGGATCAGAGGCGGGGATAGATGAGCCCACCAGAGCGGTCAGAAACCCTAATTCAAGTATCAACCAACCTTCTGGTTTCAAGTCCATGGTGACTCATTTGGTGAGATTTCTGGATTCCTCAACCATCCGCAGTATCTCAGGTTCCACCAACCCCCCAACCCTCACCGCCTCCCCCCCCCCCTCCCAAACAAACACAAAAAGCAAAAGGACACCCGCAGAAAGAACAAACACGTGCAGTGTGGCCAACTTCCCTGCAATTTGTGCCCCCCCCCCAAAAAAAAAATGAAAGAAATAACCATATATCCCCGCCGCCCCGGGAAAAAACAGGAGAAGGGAAAACAAACAAGAGCCCAGCGGTTCGCTTCAAAAAGGGGGAGATGTCTGCCTGAGGTTCCCCCACTGCCTGGACTACGACGGCTGGTTCCCGGAGCTGGTCAACTCCTTCGGCGCCATCTTCCGCTCCGCGGCGGCGCTGGCGCAGCGCCCCGCGGCCACCTCCTGCGCGCAGCTCAAGGAGCCCGCGGCGAGAACTCGCGAAGGGGGGTGTGGTTGTGGGTGGGGTGTGGAGTGTGGAGGCGGGGTGGTTGGCTCTCTTGTGGGTTCCCCCTAGATACTCACCGAAAGGCGCCGACTCCCATTTCGATGTCCACGTTTGGCTCACGCCCCCGCCGGAGGTGGAGGTGGGCGGATGGAGGTGGAGGTGGAGGTGGCCCTATTTTGACACCTGGGTTTTGGGCTTGGTCGGCGATATGGCTTACAGGGACCAAGAGGATTTTGGCAACGGGTTGTTGAAGTCGATGCTTGTAATAAAGCGAAAAGGGAGTTGCCATTTTGTGAGCCTGGGAAGCCAGATCAAGACGCCCTTGAATTTCCGGATCGCTTTCAGCAGAATCGCTCCGGATTTATTGGTCTACGGGTGTCTCCTTCTTCGCATTTATGATCTTGTTGGGGCTGCTTTAAAGGGAGCCCGGGTGGGCAAAACGCGTAACCTCTCCAAGGTACATGGATCCCTTATTGGCAGCGATGAACAAACAATGCTGGAGTGGTCGGTGTCCCGTCTTGTTCCCGAAGCTCACGCCAGACTGGCTGGTCCCGCCGCCCTTGGACAGCAGTGTATGGTTTGTCTCAAAATGGTTGGACACCCAAGAAATGGGTGGGTTCCCTTGGAAACACGTTGGAAAGGGCACCCACTCCGAAAACAAGACACCAATAAACCACACATGCTTCATCTAAAGTCAGCCTTTACAACCCCAGCCAGACAATTCACATTGTCAGGTTCATCACTGCACGCGCGCAAGGTGGGTTGCTAGAGGGTGTTTGCTAGGAAAAGCCCAGTACTCAAGTGCCCGAGTGAGACGCGGCCTTAAAGAGACAAACAAAAAGAGAACAACCAAACATAAACACTACAGTCCAAAAACAAGGGGCATTGTTATGTTCCATTTGGGCCTTTACTCCAGTGACCTTCGATGCCCAGCCCCTCAAAATGGATCTTGGGGCCTGCGACTCTCTTAAGGCAGAGGGAAGAATCAAATCAAACCCTGCTGTTTTGTCTCCAACCCCTTTGGATATACCTGTGGGGGTGTCTTTTTTCGACTGTCCCCTTTTTTTTGCTGGCTGGCAAAAGGACAACTAGAAAGAGTTCGACCGAAGCCAAATGGGTTTTTTTGGTCCAACCTCCAAAAAGGACGCCTTACGACGGGTCCATGTGTTCTTTTGGAGGATCTATGCGATTTGCCGACCAGCCGCGCCTTGCGCTTCGTTTGCGGGGAGACCTGTGGCTGCGACGATCCCCAGGCGCAGCGCTGGTTCCGCGTGCCTCGCCAGGGCTGCCCGGCCAAGTGCGCCTCGGCTGGGGAAAAGGGAAAGACATCGATGCTGTGTGTTTTCCAAAGGGGTTGGACGGTTTGGCGGCTTTTGGTTTGGTGGGGTTTTGGAGGGTTTGGCGTGGTGGGGTTCGGTGGGGGTTTTGGAAGGTTGGGGCGGGTTTGGTTTGGGGGGTTCGGGGGGTTGGGTGGCGCAACGGTTTTCCTGTTGGGTTGTACCCTCAAAACACGGCATCCCCATGCTACCAAAAGGACATATTGCTTAGGATTGCCTGTAAATCCAAGCAACAGGGGGTTCTCAAAAAAAGGCAGGCACGCCTCCACAGGGTGGGGGTTCCACGGGCATCCATTTGGGTCATGGGTTCCATGACTTCAAAGCTGCAGTTTTTGCTAGGTGAAGAGAAGGCGAAGACGGCGGCCGGGTCGCTGCCCTGTGAGGATGTCGACTGGAACAACTCCGTGTGGCGGAGTTTTTGGGACATCTACCCCTCTGTCCTGTCTGCCCGGATCGGCAAGGAGCAAAAGCGAGTTGTACAACTGCTTGGTTGTCATGCCCATGCCATTTCTCTCCGGCGAGATTGCCTGCCGGACTAGTTCGTTTTACTAAAAGCCCACGAAGAGACAAGGGTCAAACAAACATGTTTGAAGCTCTACCCTCTCAAAGGGAGTCGCCGGGGCCTGTTGTTCTGGCATCGCCATCCCCGACTTGTTGTTTTTTGATCGGGTAACCCTGGATTCTAGGGGTAACTTCCCCATTCTTTCCAGGGATCCTTCTTTCTAGAAAACCATGTTTTTGAAAAGAACGATGGCTGAAAAGAATGGGGAATCAACCCTAGATGAATGGGTACTTGCAGATGTTGAGCACTGGTTTAGACTAAATTCCAAGTGGGCAGATAGCCTCCCAGCCTTGAAATCACGCCCCAAATCACAGCTTGGAGGACAAGGCGCTGGGGAAAACACAAGTCAAGTGACACTAGGTTGAAGGGGGACACAACACGACTCTAGGAACAGCCCATGTGTTTTCCGTTTTTCCTTCCGAGGCAGCAGTGTTGATTGGTATGATGTTTGAAAGGTCCCTGCCTCCATTTTGTCTAGAGCTGGGTGTGTGTTTCGGGTTCCAGCGTTCCCATCCCCGCGTGGTCTTGTTTTCTAATGAGGGCACCAAGCCGGGGAAGGGAGGCTCCAATTCCCTCTCCCCACTGTACTGTCCAATGAGCTGCGGGCACCAACCATTTCGGTCAGGATGTTCTCTTGAAAAGAACACCTTATCCCTCCCTCCTTTCTGTCGAAGATCAGGTAATCAATCCTTACTTGGTGCTTTGGATGGTGGATTTGAACCCCTGGCTCTTGTTGACTTCAAATGGGAAACCACCCATCACCGCCAAACCTCCAAACCTCCAAACTTCCAATTATTTTTGGGTAAGAGTTTGGGGCTCAAATTTCACGTCCGTTTCAGTTCTCAGGACGTGATGACTACGCCCCTGGGGGACGTTGTGGCGACCACCCAAAGCTTCATGCTGGAGGCGAGTCAAAACAAAAAGCTCAGGGAATTGGAGAATTGGCGAGTCACACAAAAAGCTCGCCGGGTTTTGCAATTGGCTGTGGTTGTCAAAACCGTTTTGGGATCCCATTGTGGGGTAGGTGCACCACCCATAGTCTATTTTAGTGGAGATTGGGATGTTCACTGGGGGTACGGGATTTTGGATTTTGACCCATGGCCAATTCTTTGCGTGGTTTTCCGGGTGGACTGTTTTGGGCATATTTGTTTGACTCAGGTGGGGTGCCCGGGCATCGCCATGGTGCCAGAGGATAGCCTCACTCAAGGCCTCTCGATCAGCACCAGAGAAAAATATCATCGCCCGACTTACGCTTTTGGTTTTTTGGAAGTTGTGCTAGGTCCCCCAGTAGTGCCCTTCTCTCCCTTTTTTTGGGGAGGGTTTCCCTACTAAAGTAGACTACAGAAAAAGGGTACCCTTATTCTAACCTCTCTACTGGAGGACCTAGTGTGGGTTCGTTCCTTTTTTTTTGCCACTAGAATGGTCAACCCCGAAAAGGCTTCCATTTGACAATGGTCACTGGGCAAGAACTGCTAGGGAGTTGAAACAGGGTGTGGGAATGAAGCAGTGGATACAATAAGACGGATCAGTTCCTCATTCTTTGGGAACCAGCAAGGCGAAGGGGTGCGGGGGTGGGGCCATTTCTCTTAAACGTTGCTACTGTCCTTCCAACCTGGGTCAACGTTTGGTAGGGTCTGAAAAAGTAGTTGCCCTTGACTTCAACGAATATGGTAGAAAGGCTTTGGACAGGATTTTGGGTTGAACTTTGACCAAGCATCACTCCTGGAAGCGGAGAGGAGGCCTTTAAAACAGTGGATGTTTTCCAAAGGCCTGAGTACATCTGTGATTCGATGTGAACACCTGGGTCCCATGTGTTTGTGTTTTCAAACAGCAACAAGCTGGAAAACGATCTTGTTTGGGGGTTCACCTAGAAGTGACACTATCTTGGAAGCATTGATTATCAGAGTGCCGGCTGTGGAAACTCCCCTTGTGAATGTTGGCCACAAGTATCAATGGATGTTCTTTGTGAATCGGGATATTGTTGGATGTAACGTTTACGGTCGATGCTGCCTATGTTACCCTTTGCTCTCAAGGGGAAAGTCTACGTGATGCTAGGTTGGAAATCCCTCAAGAGCCATGCCTTCAACCTAGGACACGCCCAAGGTCACTCCTGAAACCAACACCAAATCCATCCGCGAAAAACAACCCATCTGATAATCTCATCCTTTTTCTTGCCAGTAGCCCGTGCGCCGCGTTTTTTCACCGTCCATGCTCATCGTTTTTTCCCCAGTAGTCCATCGCCGCGGTTTTATCCGCGTCTTTTTTTTTTTTCTTCGCGCCGTTTTCCATGCGTCCATGAGGCCATTGGTGCGCAGGGAGCTCTGAGCTCTGGGCGCCCCTGGCGCACCTCTGCCCTGTGAGTTGCAGCTGCCAAGAGCTCGGGGAGGCGGCGGACTACTGCCCCGCCACCTGCAGCTGCGCGGACGCGCCAGTCTTCCCGGCCCAGGGGGGCATCACCAGCTGCGAGGCAAAGGGAAGCGACCAAAACACGGAAAACGGGGGGGAAGCGGGGGAAGAACCGGTGGTGGAATGGGGGGGGATTTTTTGGGGAAATTTGAAGATGACAGTTTTTTGGTGTGGGTTCAACGCACGCGGATGCGGATGAGCTGTGAAAATGCAGGAGGCGGTGCCTGTGGGCATCTGCCGGCTCCAGTTCGAGTCCAAGGAATTCTGCGCGAAGACCTGTGACCTCTGCGGCCCCAATGCCACCAACTCCTCCTTCGCGTGGCGTGGCTAAAGCAGACGGGAGACAGCCTTTCTGGTTTTTCACCGACTGGCTCTGGCTGGGGGTGGTCAAAGTTTCGGGATCCTTGTTGCTATTTGTAAACATTCGGGATCCTTGTTGATATTCGTAAACAGGGGTCCATCAAGAGGCCATACGTTTGACCACCTCGTTCACTTGTTGACTTGTTAGGTTTCTTTGATCAGCCAGGCGGTTCGGCGAATCCGGGAATGCCAAGGTGCATGGATGGCAGGATCCCGACGCATCTGGGAGTCGGCAACTGCTCCGATATAAGGACGGGATGGAACAAACCATGTCTTAGGCTTAACGTCATACGGCCATGAATTTTAATAGGGAACCACCTCAAAAATGATTGGTGGACATGAATCCCCACCGAAATGATGTGAATCAAAGGGTCCTTAATTAAAGTTCATAGCCATATAACCCCTGGTAACCTGGTATGACCCCCTTTTGGGTTGATTAAGCGCATGGCTTAGTCATGGGAGCCCCTTGTGGGGTCACGGTTCATATATGGATCCGTACAACTAGGCTCTGATGTCTGGTTTTAATCTTGGTTCCCAGCCATGCCCTTAGCTTTAGACTTAGGATTCAGAATGAATGTGACATCTTGTGTGTGGTTCACTGATGATGATCAACTACAAGCATGTTTTTTTGTTTTGCTCCAAGGGTCACGGGTCACGGATGCCCTTTGGTAATTACCAACATTTCTCATTTGGGGTGAGCCGAGTGATTTTTTCATGATGAAGGTGCTTACTAGGGTCTTGCAGTTTTTAATTGTAGTCATTTACCCGGAATGGAATGAACAAACAGGGGAAGCGATTGGCACTGGCAAAAGGGGGTCCTTTCAGATGTCCTTATAACAATTCTGCTTGGCGTCCCTTTTGGGTTTCCTGAGAGAGTCTCCTTCCGTTGTTAGTCCTTTTGGTTTCTTTCGACAAATGCGGTCCAACTGTCCAACGGGTTCCTGGAATGGGCCACTGTCCACTGTAGATTGGGTCAAATGGCCACCATCCATGAATTTCATGACCTTTGGGCCTGGTTGACAGGGAAGTTCGATTGAAGCCATATATAAATATATATATAATATATGTATCCTATGGCTCAGAGGGTATGGATGCTAAGGAGTTACCTCCTGAGAGAGCCTTGGATCGGGGAAACAAAAAGTCCGAGGGCCGCGGGCTACTGCGAGTCTTTGCGGCGCATGGACTCCAACGTGGCTGCTGTCTGCTCCAAGTCCTGCGGCCTCTGCTCGGAGCCTTGAAACGCAGCACAGTCCCATCGGCTCTCCGCAGGCCAGAGGTAAAAATGGGCAACACATGGCAACACCCCGGCCCGCAAGGGGGCAAGGCCCGAACATCGTTTCGCGAAAGGGCGCCGCACCTGGCTGATCCAGTCGCGTTTGAAGTGCGCTGGATGATTCTTTGTACGACGAATCCCAGCCTGGGCTTCAAAGAAGCCGCCAGCTCGCTGGATGAAGGTTCTTTCCATAGGGAAGCCTTATTCAGTGGATCCCAGTTCCCACTTAGGTAACCAGTACTTTCCTCTTGGTTTTGAAAGGGTGGTTCCCTTTGGTTACCTGCTATGCAGGTAAATGGATCCACTGGGTTACAGAGTGAACTGTCACTCACCCAGATGCATTTGTCTGGCTTCCCTTGGTGTTACTACGGGTACAGAGCGTGAGAGGACTGGCCTAAGGCCAAGGGGCGGAACAAGAAAGCTGGAATCTCTCCATGCGCGGCGCTTGCTTGTCGCCTAAAGAACTCATGTTCCCACCAAGGAACTCGTTGAGGGAAGAGGAAAGCTCTTGGTGGCTTTTCCACTGGGGGGAAAACCCGCACAGGCCCTCCGCCTGGCAAATAACTAGTGCAAAGCGCTTTCCGTGAAGGAACCCACAAGAGGTTTGATGTTTGCCTAGCAATTGTTCGGCATTTTTGCTCAACATGGGTGTTGGTTGAAACCAATGGTTGGTCTCCTGGGTTCCATTTCAAAATCTTATCCAAAAAGGATTTGCTAAGCTTCCCAAATTGGGATTCCTAAGATGCCGCTTGTGCGGGTGTTTCCTCCAAGGCACCCACACATCAGCACAGTGCCCATTTCCAATGACCCCAATTTGAGGATAGACATCCCAGCGACCCGAAATCCAAGCCCCTTGGCATTGAGTGACTTTTAAATGATGTCGGCACATAAACGTTACTTGGTGGACATGATTTACAGTGAATCTCACCAAAGTTCATCATGAGCCAAGTGAATGTCACCAAATTCTTAGGTAGACCAAAGTCACCAAAGGGTGCAAAGCAAATCAGTGGGCCTTTGGGTTGAATCGTTTGCGGCATGTCCAGCTCGTGCCAGGCCTTGGTTATGACCCGGGCGTGGGTTCAAAAAGCGCGCTGCTGTCTCGCCGGAAACTCCGACTTGATGCCCAAGACCGGGTCGAACATCGCTGCAGGGCTTCCTTTAGGTTCCAGAAACCAGCTCATGCCCATTGGGTTGTGGGAGCGACCCAGTGAAGCATGTCAATGCCACAGCTCGGTCGATAGCTCGCGAAAGGTCGCGTTGACTGATCATTGGGTGGCATGTTTATTTTTAGGGAGGCCAAACCTTCATTTTCCCCCCAGTTAGGATCCATTCAAACCCCGCCCTGCCATATGCAAAGGATGGCATGAGACAATCCCCGACAAAATCCGGACTTAGTACGTAGGGTTTGAATGCGCCTCAACTGAGCATACAGGCGGGGGAGGTTCGCCCAGTTGAAGTTGATCTCAAGTGTCCTGTGCCACAATCTAAGTCCCCTTGGTTGGTGGATTCCTCGCTAAAGACAGCGAACCCGAAACAGGGAACCGATTATTTTTCTGCGGTCACTGGTCCAGTCCGACCTGTCCGCAGCTGAGCTCAGACATGGGATGGATCCACGCGAATCCTTGCGGTTTCCAGGAGAACAAATGCGCTGCCACAAGTGCCCAGCTTAGTCTCGGGGTCTTGAGCGGAAACTCGGCCAACCTGTGAGTTGATCAAATCCTTCTTACAAACCTCGTCACATCACACAGCGAGGAAACAAAACATAGGTAGCCTTCCATGCAGATTCACCAGGAGCTGCCCCCCAAACTAAGAATAATTTTACAACCAACTCAGACCAATGGAACCCTCAACCAAAATCGCCTCCCCATTTTCCCGAAAGTTTTTGAACCCCCTGACTCGATGCGGCCCGCCATGGGCGCGGGCGCGTTGCCTCGCGGTTTTCGCCGCTGACTCGATGTGGCGCCTAGTGCTGCTGGCAGCGGCCCAGGGCCGGGGCGCACGGACTGGGCGCGCGGAGTGGCGCTGGGCAGAACTGGGTGCCTCTCACTTCCCTTTTTGGGTTTGGACCATTTTAGTGGCAAACAAAAAGTTTGGACATCTTTTTGGGCCGTCCACTCAAGTGGGGGGGGGTGTCTGGAGCTTTTTGGGAGGGTTTCGGAGGTTGCAGATGCTTTCGGGGCTGTTGAGGGGCCGATGTTTTGCAACAACAACAGCTGCTGTGGAGCTGGGCGAATGATGACGAGTTTGCTTGGGGATTGCTTTTGCTGGGGAGTTACGCCGTCCGCCCGGGATTGACAAGTTCCACTGCGCACAAGTTCAGATGGGTGCTTGTTCCCTGGGTTTCCATCCATCCCACAGGTTTGGGCTGGTTTTGGGCAGGTTGGAGGGTTGGGAGGCTGGGAGGTTCTGGAGATGTTAAGGATACCCCTTGTTTTTGCTTGCTATTGTCTTTTCTTGGTGGAGGGGTTTGCCAGGCAAACCGGAGGAGTTCGCAAAGCAAACAAAGGCTTGAAGAGATGGAAGGCACACCGCTTGAATAGACATTGAGCAGAAGGAAGCAGTGTCTCATCCGTTTTGGCACGCGACATGGTTTCTATGCACTAAAGTCGTATCTTGGGCTGCAACTCCAAAAGAGGAGAAGACCCTTTGAGAGAGAGGTTGTCTCCAGGAAAGGGCGGTTCAACCGTGATTCGAGGTCATCAAAGTGCCGAGGTCGGCTTCTGGCCTTTGGGCTTTGGGATAGACGGGTTGGGGAACCCACCAAAGCCGGTGGGCTACCCAGCGCCGAGCTCGCTTTCAGGCTTGCAGCTGGAATGTGTTTGCCTCAGAGCCTCAGTCCAGTTCGAAGCGAGGAGTTTCGACGCGCCCACCTTCGCCAAGTTCCCAGACAATTTGCAGACCTGTGATCTGGTTGTTCCTTGTTTTGGAGGGGTAAATCCCTTGAAATCAAGCCCCAGAGAGGCTGCCCGATGTTGCCCTGGAATTGATCATACGGGAAGTCTTGTGGAAATGCAGATGTTTTGGTTGGCATGTTTGCTTGTGCGACCGAAGTGGGTCCGAGTTGTAGCTCACTCCGATTTGTTCTGGTGTGCGTGTTCCTCCTCAAGAAGCGCTTTCAAGGACTTTATGCTTAGGACGGACACGTCATTAGACAAAAGGCTGACCTGTTCATCTTTCCCCACTATGTTTCGCCTCACTACTGTATCCCTTTCAAGCAGCCAAACTAGGCTTGCGAGGGGCTAAGCCCGACCCAGACTTTAGGTGTTTAATTCCCGCGTGGGAATTGACCTCCCAAGCGCGCCCATTGGGTAAAAGGTTAGGCAGAGGTAGCCCGGAGCTTCCAATTACCACTATAGTGGGTTAAAAGGGAGTAAGTCCACGTAAAAGCCAGAAGCAACACACCCTGGTTACCTGCTATACGGGTGTTCCTTGAAGTTTTTGGGAAGCCGAAGGAACGATCTCCATTGAATCTCCATAGGCCCGACCACGGACGACATTTTGGCGAACCTCACGGCGGAGTATGACGTCCTCTCCCACCCGGGGAAGCCAGCATCCGAGCCCATCAGGGGACCGTCTGCGTCAGAATATGCTGTTTTTATTCCGCCCTGTTGGCTCCAGGGGACTGAATAAGCAAATGGGAGTGTGTGTGTGTGTGTGTTGGTTGGAGTTGGCACCCTTGTGGAGTTGGTTTATTTGGAAACCAACGGGACTCCAATCATTCTGCGGAGCCCCCTATTTTGGCACACAGCTATTTGTTGCTGAGATTGAACCTGGGTAAGTGAAGGTTATGGACAATCCTCTTGGATCAGATCGTAGCTTTCATCTAACAGCACTCAGGGAACTCGATTCTGTTGAGTACCCAAGTTGTTCATTGGCTCGAGTATTTGTTCGTCTTCTTCTCCTTGATCGTGTCTCTTAATTCCGGTGAACTTGCTGAGCTTGAGTTTCCGATGGGGAGCTTCCCTTCGCAGAGATCGCTATGGACACAGGGCTTGTGGCTTTACTGAGATATATGATATTGCCTTTTTGGAAATATGCAAGCTTCGGGCAGTTTTCTGATTGATGATTTTGTTGCCGTGTTGTTTTTTTCTTTCTTTTTTCCTGTGGTGGAGAGTTGGATAATTTTTATCGAGATGTGCTTCTTCTGTACCCGGTTTCTTTGTCCTTTGTCCTGCTGGCGTTGAAGGGAAATTGGCCAATGGTCATCACATTTCGAAACCAAACTACAAAATAGGGCCAAGGTGCAACACCAACACCTGCAGAAAGATACATTGCATGAGGCTCTTGGATTCTTCAAATTCACACCGATCGGACCAAGAAAGCAACTCTTCAACTTTGGGTACGAAACTAAACGACTGACAATCAGTTGGGTGGGTCTTGTTTTTTTCTGGGAATACGGGTATGGGCCTGGGTCAAAACTAAACCACCAGGGACGCGGGTTTTAGTCCTTGGTTCCATTTACCAGGGTTCCATTTTGGGCGCATATTTTTGACGCACAGCCATATGTGTGTACATCCAGAATCCATGGCGAAGACCCGGTAGAACTCAGCAGAGCTATTTAAACGGATGGCAGCCCTGGAAACAAACGCAAGGGATCTTGAATCATGCAGGCAGGCAACGTCCGTGTTTCCAAGGTAGGTTTCGGCCCCTGCTTTTTTTGTTTTAGAAAACCTGCGAAAGCAACCGGTACATTGGGCGATGCGTTGCTTGTTTGATGATTGAATTTGTCCGGGCACATGAAATCACAACGTTACTCCATGATGTTTATTTATCCGACCTAAAGCGCCACATGATGAGTGTTTTTGCTCCCAATAGGGAGTTTAACATTGTTCTATTGTCAATCACTCATGTTCACAAGTATAAGGATCCTTGTGTTCGTAGGGTCGGTGATGTTTGCGGACAAGTACCTTTACTTGGTGGATCAGTTCACTCATGTTGCTTTCTGCAGCTGACTGGGCTCATGTCTCTGGATCCAATCCCATAAAAAAACATCAAAGGGCGCCTTAAAAGGACATCATGTGGACCCAGGATGACTAAACCTCTATAGTTGTAGTACGGGGGTACACCCCTATTGAAGCAAGTGCGTGCGTGCGTGCGTGTGTGTGTGTGTGTTCACTTGCAACACTTGGGCGGCTCGAGCTACACTTGGCTCATGTTACATATCCCTCCCAAGGACCTGAAATGTGAGCCACCTTTTTCGGATCGTGGCCCCTTGAGGTTGCAACCTTTGCTGTGGCTGTTGAACGATGTCCCCTGTCCTGTTCAGCGGCTCCCTCGCTTCCTCCAAGGAGATCCTGGACCCTGGAAGCAAGGTCACTTGCTGGGGCTGAAGCAAAATCGGTAGATTTTTGTTGGAAGCATGCCGCGGAAACCAAAGGGAGAACTTCGCATTGCTCGAGTACCCACTGTGCAATCACGGAAGCCACTGGTGGCCTTCGCAAGGTCTTCCAACACCCTGTTGCCTTCCATTGAAAGAAGGGAAATTGGTAATGCGCCTAACTTTGAGGCAAAGGGCCACAAAATCTTATTCAAAAACAACCAAAACCTCTCCCTCCCCCCCCGCCAAAAAAAACAACACATGGGGTACCCCCCCCCCCCTCCCCAATTTTGAGACCAGCATCGTCCAACGTCTTTTGGTTGCACCTACCCCACGTCGAGGCGGAGCAAGCAGCCGACCCACGTGGGGCTGCAGCTCATGGTGGCGTCCATCGTGAAGGTCCGGGCGCTCGGTCGCTCGGTCGCTCGGTCGCTCGGTCGCTCGGTCGCTCGGTCGCTCGGTCGCTCGGTCGCTCGGTCGCTCGTTGGGCCGAGGAGGTTTCGTGGTTCTAAGGGTGGCTTCCTCGAACATGGTAGTTCTAAGGGTGGTTCTAAGGGTGGTTCTAAGGGTTGTTCTAAGCTAAGGGTTGCAGCACGTCTAAGGGTGGTTCTGAGGGTGGTATTCGTTCGAACCTTCTTAGTGCTGTAACGACACAACTGCGACTCTCGAAAACACCTCTTGGCCGTTGGTTGGCTTAAATCTCTTGCTACTCTAGGGGCACCTTCCCCATTCTTTCCAGGGATCCTTCTTTCTAGTTAAAACCACAAAAAAAAACATGGGGAAACCGCTGGGTTTAGAAAAAGAACGATGGTTGAAAAGAATGGGGAATCAACCACTAGAATGGTGGGCTGCGTCGGTTTTTCAGAGGACGGGACTCCAAGATGGCGTCGGTTTGCTGGTGGCTTTCAGCTGTAAAACCCCTGCAACAAGGGGTAGCCTAGAAAAGGACGCAGTCATCTCAGGCGGTTGTAGGAATGGCCGACCTGTCGGGCGTGAAGAGGTTCATGGGATTTCGGTACCTTGGGTCACCAGGACAGCTCAGCCACTTTGGTGGTTGGCGAGGTTCATTTGGTGATAGTGACGGAATCCCGAAGGCTGCCCCATCGAAGACATGAATGCGTCCCCCCCAAGAAGAACAGTGGCAGGAGCTGAATGAATGGCTGTGTTACGAAGAAATCCCATTTATCCGCCACGTAGCTCATTGGAAGGAAGTCGGTTTGGCATGTCAAACTGCGTAAGGATTCGGCAAACCACCTTGTGAGAATGGGGGCTCGCTCCTTTGTGTGCCAAGGGCCTGGGACGCGTTGGAGAGTTGCATGTAGGATGGGTAGCCTTGAACCAGAGTGATTTTAGGGCTACAGGACCCACTTTGGTCAACTTTCAATAGGGGTGTCATTTTCAGCAACTGGGGTGATTTCCCTTATACGCCTATTGCCAGAAAGGTCAAGTCGCGGGTCACGTCAATCGCAGGTCCTTTGGCTCTCTCCTCTCACAGCTGAGTGGCGGACAAAATGAAGTTCAAAGGGTTCGGCAGGAAAGCCTACAGGACATGGCTCCAAAATACCCAAGAGAATCTGTATTTTTTGGAAGTTCCTGTAACCCAACCCTTTGAGAAGTCTACCACGCTGAGCTCTCTGAACATAACTCAAGTGCCCCTTGCCTGCGGTTCGAAGGTCCATTGAACAGAACGCAGGTGGAGCAGAAGCAGCAGCAGTTGGCGCTCGAGGGGTCGGCAGCTTGGGGTCTTGGGGTTTAGGGTTCCATGGAGGTCTACGCGTGGGCAGGTTGAAAGGGAGGACAAAAGGACAGTGGGTTGTGTGGGTGTCTAGTTTCGTGTGAGGGTGCCCTTTCCAGACGGGTTAAAAGGGACAAGAGGAAAATGCCATTAGTCGGTCGTCTTGTGTTGACACAAGACCACTTGTTCTCAGTCAACCCAGGTCAAGGCAGCCCAAAAGGCGATGAATCTTTCTTCGGGGCTCTTTTAGGGAGAAAGCAGGCAACCCGAGATAGCCTGAAAGCACTGAGGTGCTACGCTGGGTTGGGTGGTAAGCGCTTCGTTTGGTATTTTGACCACCCACCCACACACACACACACATGCACACATTTGTGTGGAGTCCCTGCCTATAGTTCCCTTCAACCGACACGTAAAGGAAGCTGCACGGAGAGCCAAACCGCGACAAGTTTGTGCATTCTTTCGTGAATTCCTCCCTCCCCCTCCTCCCCAATAGCGACCCTGACTGGTGAAGGCAGACTGGGACTTGTTTGTGCACCCCGTGAAGAGTACTTTACTAGGTCTGCAAAGGGGCCGTGCCCTTTGACTAATTGGGCCCCACAACGAGTTGTTTCGCTTGGAACAGCCCAACGCGGGGTTCTACACGGAACCCTGACTAGTGCAGCCGGAGTCCAACTCAAATGCCAAGTCAGAGACTTCACGTCGCCATGGGCATTGGACTGGGAATGCTCAGGCTGAAGCGCCCCATTTCTGCCTTTGGAGAATTTGGAGTCCCTTTCAACCACGGGAAGCACGGTACGCATCCTACAAGTGCCAAACAGATTGGCAATGGGCCGATGTCTATCCTTGAAGACAGTTCAAAGGGACTAGGGGGGTTGACCCTTGACCATGTCCGGTGGAGAATGTGCATCGGAACCCAGGATTGAAGCCCTATCTTGATCCAGAAGGTGCAACCCACTTCGGGGGGGATCTGGATGCGCCCTTGGTTCGCCCCAATGGAAAACACATCTAGCATCATATGGCTTCCTAGGTTTAGGGTTGACGCACATCCTCCCGTCATGTTCAAAGCCAAGACCCAGGTACTTCCGCTCTGAGTGGGTCGATCCGCGCCTGGCCCAAGCAGGTGAGGGATGTCCCGGGGATGACCAAACCTTGGTGGCTCCCAGCCATCCGGTTCCTGAGCTTCTTAGATCTCTTAGTGTTCCACCAAAAGTTAGACTAGGGGATCTGAGGGCCCAGAAATCGCGAAGGGTGACATGTTATATTCATATTGTGGCTTTACCTTTTCGACCAGCTTCTGTGCTGCTGTGAGACTGTCGAATGCCAGCAACTTTGCAGAAACTCGGCCGGGTTGGCAACTCAATGAGTTTGTGGCATGGTAGTAGGCATGGTCTTCATGAAGTAGGGAATGCAGCTGGTTCACCAGCGGATATCAAGAACCTTTTGATTCGGGTATGCTTCTTCTCGAGCCGGGTGCCGAGTTCACTCAGATGTTTGCTCGTTAAAGAATCTAGACGGTTGCCAATGAAATGCTCCAGGCGAACGGCAGCAAGGGCTCAACCAATTCGCGAAAGGATCAAAGGCAAGCCCTGCTAGGAATGACCGTCTTTCGCACAGCTTTGGTGTTGGACTGGAACACCCATGATCTGGCGAACGGCCCAGTCAACCAAGACTGATACGAACAAGCATGCAAGTGCATATGGCCCACTTTCCACGCGGAATGTGTGTGTGTGTGTGTTTGGTTTTGAGAGTGGGTGTGTGCACTTCCATTTGTTGCTGGGGACAAGACAAGCTTGCAGACATGATCAAGGAGACCAAGCCCAGGACAAATCCGCGAATGTTACCTCGCGGCCAGAAGGGCGGGATTCCTCTATCTTGGGGATATTTTGCGAAATGAAACCAGCCAGGAGGAGTTGTTGCCATTGGTCCCCTTTCAAACTTTCATAGGCTTCCCCATCATCTTTTCCACTGCCTCATTCAACTGTTTGCGTTCGCGCTCGTCGAGTTTCCAATTTGACACCCCGGATCAATACCCGCTGGTTGTATATGGGTGTGTTTTCCTTCAGAGACCCCAATTTCTATTTCATTTCGTTTGCCCATTACCAAACCACAAAAGGGGGCACAGTTCAACAAAATTCGCCACGCCCATCTGCCCCATCGGATGACTGACAGATGCGCCAGGCCCCTGCAATGAGACGGTGGTAATCACTTTGCCGCAGCCGCAGGGGCAGCCGGCGATTTGGCAGCCGGATATCTTCTTCGCGCCTCGGCGTGTGGCAGGATGGCAGGGTCGGATGTAGGGAACAGTTGGCATTAGCACCCCCATTGCCTTTACATACGACTTCATACCTGGGGGGCCCATCCCAGAGATGGTGGAACCTCAGAGAACAATTCCAAGATCTTCCCATCCCTTTGTTCCCTGTTCCCAATGTTTCCTTCTGCTTGGTTCCTTTTATCTGCTTTGATCCCAATTGTTCCCTTCTATGATATATGACTCCATACCTGGGAATCCCATCCCAGAAGTTGTCCCTGAGGTGACTGCCTCCGTGATTGCTTTCAAGCCCAAGCCACTGTTCCGTTTTTGGGGGAGGCAAGTGTCAAATGAGTCAAAAACCGACACCCGTGTTGCAGAACATCTGCTTTGAGAATCTAATTTTTCCTGGCGAATCTCGTGCCATTCAGTAGTTGTAGGTGTCGGAGCCAACCACATTGGATCACGCAAAATGGAACCAACAACACTTTTATAGACCTGCGCTTGGCACTCCGCACAGTGTCACTGAAAAGAGTTTGCTTTTGCATTTTACAAGCAGTGGGGGTTCAACTTTATGGCTATTAGCGGATATTTGGACTTGAGCTTTTTGCTTGACACAGGCTGGTTTTTTCATTGGACCCACAACAAGTGAAGTTTTTTGCAGAGGGATCCAATCGTTAAGGACAACTCCGTGAGTGAATGGTACGGCTTCGGATCCTTGACTATCTACCCTGACGGCCGCGTCTTTCGCTCCCGCCGTCAAGCCGCCAGGATTTGAGCGATGCACGTGTCTGTCTCACTTGAATTAAAAGCAAATCGACTCTTGACCGTTGGTATTCCCTTTTTGCAACATACTGTGGAGGCAATCTTTACAGGTGATCACCTTGTTCGACGTGCATTGATTTCTTTCCACCCAACGGCAGGCACATGGCTGCGTGCCCAGATGCTAAGCGAATTGCTGTTCTAGGAGTATCCACTACCGCTGTGAACTGAATTCGTTTTGACCATAGGTGTCCTTTTTAGGTTTGATTGAAAATAGATGGGTGTCACTGGTTTAGATGGTGTTTCTTCCATTTACCAGGAAACCCATCGATTTTTCCAAAAAGGCCACCTATGCTCCAATGGTTTTCTCGGCCTTTGTGGTTCGGAGGGTCGCGCGCCAGGCTTCCACCACACCTTCTCATGCCGCATGAACTTCGAAGCGTTGCCCTTCGACGGTCACGACTGCATGGTCGCCATGTCGTCTTACTCCTGGGACGTGGAGAATGCCGGGCGCCCGGAGAAACCGCTGGCTCAGCCTGTGGAGTAAAGTCCCCTAGTGGTCAATACGGCCACTTGAAAAGGAAACCAGCCCGTTCGGCCTTAGCTGTACAGTTCGAATGCTGCACAGGGGCCAAAGCCTTTATCTTTAGACAACCCCACAATTTAAGCGACATGGGCAGCTGCTGAACAAGGATAAGCAGAGAATTTGGGAATCCTTGCGATTTGGGAAGATAGGCCAGGCTCTGTACTGTTCAATAAATTGATCTCCAAGACCCCGTGGACCGCTTATTATCCTTTCCTGATTTTTTCGGGCAGGCAGCGCAGACATGTTTTTACCTTTCTTGCCATTCGCCCCCATGCCATTGTCATTCAAAGCACAAAAAGGGTCCGAAAAGGGCGCCATTGTATTAGTTGTCCTGTTCGGGCACGAAAGTTCTGTTAGAGCTGAGGTCAACGCTACGGCATTCTCCAACGGCGCTGTGGACATAGACCCGGAGCCCATTGCCTCATTTTGGATGGGTCCCGGGGGGGGGGTTGGCCAAACCAAAGGTAGTTTCAAATTCGGTATGTCGGGAGGCATGTTTCGGGGAGAATTGGGGTGTTGCCAAAGTAGAAGTCCAATTGGCTCCGCCCTTGGCTTTTGTCCCCAAAACTGGGGTGGTTTTTCCCTTGATGGACTTTTCAATCCACTACGAGATGACAAATCAGGGCACCACTTCCACGTCCAAATTCCCCTGGCTTCAGGCAGATTTCCAACTTCCCCGGGTCTCCGAAGCAAGGAAGTTCGATTGAGGTACGATGGCACCAACGAGTTCAGATTGACCACGGCTGCCCGGCGGACGTTTCATACGAAAGGCAACCCGGAGGGAGTGGAAACGAGAGCCTCGAAAGGAACTTATAGCACGAGAGAAGTAAGCAAACCAACGGCGAGGAGGTATTTTGGGGACTCGCAGTTTTGTCATTGCAGCCACGTCATGGCACCTGCGGGGAAGCCATGGAGGGCCTGGGTGCCTGTGACAGCCGCACCGTAGCAGTTAGATCTCCAGTTGTTCCCTTTGTTTCTGCTAGTTGAGAGGTTTTCCACATCATCTGTCAAATACGGCTGCCGGTTTTTTCCGCCCGAATTTGCCTGTTTGTTTCCGCCCTTTTTGCACGGGAGGTTTGGGAACTTGTGCAATGCTTCCTTTGACAGAACAGTGAGTCGAGGCTCGGGGATGCAACGAACGTCAGCCGCGCCCAGGTGTCTGACGATGTGCAGACCACGTGGTTTGGCACCGGGCTCAACCGCAAAGGCTGGACCGGTGTACCTGTCAGGTGGCCAGTTTTGTTTCAGTGCCAGAGGAAAGTCAGGTTGTGTATTTACGTATGTGCGTGTGTGTATGTGTGTATATGTCGTTGTTGTTTTTTTTGTTTAACAAGATCGGCGCCTTTGTGTCTAGTGGAGCAAAATATGGGCCATGTCAATATGTCCACAGTTATTTCCCCTGTGCATGCCGAGTGCGTTTGGGCGCGCCAATGGCTTCAGACCACTTCGAGATGCGGGAACCTACTAGAGCGAAGGCCTCCCTTGGCTCCGGGCGTTAGATCGGATCCGAAGGCGACATGTTCACATGTGTGCCAGATCCAACAGAGCGCCCTCGCTGTGTTCGCGTTGCCGACATGAAACTTGACGCTACTCCCGTTTCGAGGCCAAGCGACGATCCCAAAATTCGAGAAAAGAAACACTGCGGGTTTGCCCATCTTCAAGAAATCAGGAAACAACAAAGACCACGCAGAAGACATGCTCAAACAGTGCAGCCGATTCTGAATCAAAGCGCATTTGCTGATGTGTGTAGGCTATGCCTACATCTACGTGTACATGCACCTGGATCGACGTCCTACTGCCTACATGATGTTTGTCTTCGGCACCTCGGGCATTGGACACGGAGTATTCAAGGTCCCATTTCAGAGGGGCAAGATTCTCAGATGGCAAACCTGGAGAATGGTAAATGAGAGCTGAAAGCTTGTGGCAAAACAACAGAGTCGATTGGATCTGCAATAAAATGCAAGCTCACTGGCGATTCCTGGATTCAAGGTTGGCAAATGATGAGGGGAATGTTTGTTTCCTTGAGGTACCAGCAGGGGTTTGTTTTACAGGGAAACCGAAGCGAAGCACCACTTTTATGGGGGTCCCCCATTTTGGCGACAGAATGTTTGTGCAGTCCGTCAGATCCATGGTGTCCTCTCAGAGTGAGTTCTGCGCCGCGGTTTCAACCAGTCGTTGAGAAGGGGGCCTGGGCACTTTTATGTTTGGGCTTGACCAAATCTCAGGCCGAAACGGACCCCGCCCAGTTTTTTTCGTACAAGCTTGCCCCAAAATTTGGTTGGTTGTCAATTTGGTGTCCAACTTAGGAACCATTTCGGAGAAACCCTGTCTTGGAAGGAGAGGTGAAATAGCTCCTGTCCTGTGCTGACTGAGGCACTTGCATGTTGCTACTTGGAAGCAGCTGACACAGGGATTATTGGGCTCTTGTGTGCTCAGTATTAAATGTGAGTTGATTTCTCCAAGCCAAGTTTGTAAATCGAACAGGGATTCGTGGAAAAGGACCGCTCCGAAAAACATGGATGGACTGCATGTTGGGTGCCCCGTGCTGAGATTTTAGCTTTAAGTCTCAAGATTGGCCACTGCGTTTTCACTTCCTGGCATGGCGAAAGGCATGGAGAGTGAGCGTTCGGAAGGTGAGCCGTCCAAACCTTGTGTGTTGCAGTCACGGTTCTCCTTGTTGCATGTTCGCCAAACAAAAATGCTCGGCGAAAGGACAAGGAAGCCTGCCGGGATTTGATACGCATCTTATCTTTTTGTGAAGCTTGAAGCACCGCCCGAGCATTGGGCAGACTAGGTTTCTGTGAGAGCAGTGGACTCGACAAGAGGACCTTCCTGAGTCCAGGTGGGGAGCCTTTAGCTCCCCAGAAAGAACCACTAGGTCGAAAAGGCCCTAAACAGCGGGGTTTGGCACCCTATGACATACCTATGATCTGTTGGGTCCGTTTTAGAAGACAAGGCCAGACCTGCCTTTCAACCACCCTGTCTTTGAAGACATCCTTCACCTGGTTGTGATCCCTCGCCCCCTTGGCACCAGCGCAGCAGATCAGGTTCGCTTTGGTCGCCTGGAGTGGCTTGCGCGCAGCTCAGAGACTCCGCCCCAGCCATCCCAAGTGAATCCAGTTACCATAGGTAGAATTTCTTCAAGGGAAACCATGGTGAGAATTAAAGCTAGATCTCACATAATTTTAGCAGAAAACGCTTGAAAGGGGAGTTTCGGCCGTTTGGTTTTCCATCTCTTCGGCACCGAAAAGGAGTGGCACTCTGAGAGAGCAGCTGTCCTCCGATCGTTCTCGGCCATCGGCTTTGCTTAGTAGCACGACTCCACGCAAAGCGGCTGGCCCTTTCTGGTATATTGTGATTATTATTGTATTTGTTCAAGTTTGGTTTCTCATTATGTTTAATCCGCCGTTATTTTCAAGAAACAGCAGCCGTTTCACCTGACCCTTTCTAGCATATTAAGTATTTGTTCAAGCTTGATTTCAATTCCGCCGCTCTTTTCAGGAAACAACAGACGTTTCAAGTGATTGGAGGTTTTCTGGAAAGAGTCGGTTCCCTATCTTCAACAATGAGAGTATCCTTCTTAGGGGTTGGTTTGACGTAAACGCCCAAGGAAGCTGACGCCCATTTTGGGTGTTCTTGACTCCTGTTAGGACCAAATTTGAAGCCGCCCTCCACCCTCTAATCACCTGTTCCATCCACTCAAGAAGGAGAATCAGATGCCCCCCCCCATGGATTCGATTTGCCCCGCCTCTGCCGCTTCAGGTTCATCAACCGCGCCATCGCGCCGGCGCGGGTCACCATCGCGGTGATCCCGGTGTTGATCATGCTGAACCTGGAGACCAACGCTTTGGGGCAAGAATTCAGCCGGGGCGGATGAGTTTTAGGTGCCGAAACTCGACCACGGCCGAAGAATGGGGAAGTGAAAGTGTAGTACCTGTAAGATGGTGGCTGTGCCAGGGCGTGTGCCCAGTTTACTTGGGATGATCAGCCAGCGTGCTAATAGAGACGGGGGTTGCTCGGCCAACTCGAGTGTTGGTTTGGGACACAATGAATATGTATCGTTGCTCCTTGGGCACCATCAAAGACCTGGGTGGCAGGTCAGGAAATGTCCATCATAAATGGGGCCCACCAAGACCTGGGCAACAGCAGGTCAGAAAAGGTTCATTCCTTGGTCCTAGACCGGTAGGTATGGATAGCATATTTTGCCCTTCTCCTCCACAGTTTTTGGGTGGACTCTGGGCTCCCAGCCTACCTCAGGTGACTTCAACTTTGCCGGAGCCTCAGCATGCCATGGGGTTGGATTCTTGTCGAGCTGGCAAGCTTGGAGTCGTTTTGTTGGTTTTAACCAAGGGGTTTAGTCACGAATTGTCAAACGGTCAATCAAGGGTCGAGAAACAGATGCTTTAGGTCATCCCCTGTGGTTGCATCCACCTCATGCGAAAGTTTTTGGTGCTGGCTTTAGCTGGGTCCCTCAACGCGGTGATAGTTCGGGGCCCTCAAGATTGCTTGTCGGGAAGCCACCATTTAGCGCGTCATTTCACTTCGCACCGGAAACCGGATTTATTCTGGGCTGATCGGAGGCTCGCGGCCCAGGATGAAGGCCTCAAAGCCGAAGTTGCGATCATTCCCGCGAGCTTGCGCAATCCATCAGGCCTCCATTGAACTACCTCACCTGGCTCACCTCCTATTTGTTGCTCATGAAGCTGCGCCTGGGCTTGAAATGTGAAGACACACGGGAGCGCAAGCCCCCCCCTCTAGAAAGGCCGAAGGGGGTGTTGATCATTTCCAATGGCTTTCTGCAGCAACGACCCGCTCTTTGAGCCTTTTTTCCACCTGGGGGTTAGCCAGCCCGTACAGAAGCTAGGGGTTTTTCGCCTACAGTCAGCCCAGCCAACCGATAAGCTTACCAAGCAATAGGAGGCCCCCTATGCAAGGCAGCGACTTAACTTTGATCGGTTCATTCAAGATATGCTTCTTGCGCCAAACTCTGACATGCCTTCATGTTCTGGGAAGTGGTACAACTATGATTTCAACGGTGCAAGCCACCTCCTTTTGGTTTGTCCAAGAGAACCAAAGTGTAGTTTGCAACGTGATGTATTCATCAGCCATGTAAACCCCAATGCATGCATGTCTCACTTGTGCAGTCTCATCATTACTACTGCACGTGGCTCAAGGAAAAAGCGCGCTGAGTACAGGGTTCAATTGTGACCCTTCCCGGTTGTTTAACCTGTTCTATAGGTTATCAGCCGTAAGCGGCTCTTTGTACAGAGTTGTACGCCATGGATGGCGACCCTGGACTACCCCATACCGAGGTGCGTCCCACACCTGGTGAGCCAGCAGGCGATGAAGACGCCTCGCAATATGAACCGACTAGTCGAGCAAACTCCCAAGTGGCCAGGGAGCTCATCAGGAAGGGACAAGCGCTGAGCAGTCAGGGCCCCGAATCACTTCGATCCCGGAGTGACCGTGGGAGGGCTGGGCGGTCTGGTGCTCGATCTCCTTCTCCTGTAGGATCAGATCGGCATCGGCATGGTGATATCGTCATGTACGACCCCCAGACCGATCTCGCAAGGGGAAACCCTATGCCACAGTCCATGAATCAGTTCAACCAACATGTTGCGAACGTCCACCTCGATCCATCAATGACGATCAACCAGGACGTGACGAACTATCAGCAGATCAACGCTACCCAGAACAATGCCCAGTTCAACCAGTTCGTGAATCAGGACACCGGTCCCATGGTCGCCCAGCTGGCGGAGGCAAGGCATGGTGAGATCATTGCCGACCTCCAAAGCCAGTCGGAGGCCATGAGACGCGAGATTCAGATGAATGCGGAGCAGCGTGCGAACACCATGAAGTCAGAAAGAGAAGCCGAGATGAAGTACCAAAACGCCATGAACACGATCAGCGAGCAGGAGAAGCAGATCCGGGAGCTAAGGGCTATGGTCGAGCAAATGGTGCAGAATCAACAGCAACCGCCTGCTCAACCTGCTCCAGCCCCTGCGCCTCCTGTTCAGCAGGCACCAGCTACCCCCTTGGCTATCCCGACAGTTCCTTTGGCTGCATCTCCACCCGGACTTTCGAATGCTTCCTCACACAGTTGGACGAAAGTCGGGAACGACCCCTACGGCAAAGACGGATCCGTTCCCGCCGGGGCCGTGGACGATGCTGCTACCGGAGACGGTTGGCCTTGCGATGATGGTGATGGTGGAAATGACAAGGACAAGAAAAAGAAGAAGAAGAAGAAAAAGAAGAAGGACCGTAGCCGACGCCGGCGACGAGATCCGTCGTCTTCTCCCTCGTCATCTTCATCATCAACTTCAACTGCATCGGATGAATCTTTTCGACGAAAGCTACTGAAGCACTTAGGTAATTCGAGCGATCCGACAGCGGAACGTGTTCGTGTAAAGGAGGGTGACAGAATTCAGATTCCCCGATTCCCGAAGCCCGAACAGTACCGTAATTGGAGGATCAAAGTTAGGGATGCTGTTGTTGCTACTTCCGACCAACCCGAAAAGGCATTCGAATGGATTGAGGCAACTTGGATCCCAGGCCAAACTGTTGAAGTCCTTCGTGATTCAGGAATGTTTGTCCATCTTGATGCAAAGCTGGCATCGGCGTTGACGAATATCTTGGAGGGCGACCTCGCGCGGCAAGTGGACATTTTCAAAGAACAAGAAGCAAAGGAGAAACGCTATGCGAGGGGGCGCCAAATTCTTCTGATGGTTCACAAGCACTTCAGCACGAACATCAAACATGGTGCAATTTACGACTTCGAGGACCTGCTCTCTGTCCAGCTCATCAACGAGGACCTCAAGAACTTTATGACAAGATGGGATACGGTCATCGCTGGAATGGGCAACGAGCAGAACGAGAAGACCCTTGAAGCGCTGTTCCACCGCCAGATTCGAAAGTTTCGGCCCCTCAGTCATGATCTCAATGAGTATGAGCGAGCTGAGGAAGGTACGGAAAAGCACTCCTATAAATTCTTGATTGACGCATCGAGGAATTATTTGGAGCGCAAGAGGCTTGTTCACATGCGGGATGCTATGTCAAGCAACACAACGGGGCGTGGCAGGACTCCATCGAACAACCCTGCAGTTCCTGGAATCCCCAAGGGTGTATGCATCAAATTTCAAACTGGCCAGCGCACCTATGGTTCAGACTGCCGATTCGAACATGTTAAGGCACCGAAAGGTAAGGGGAAAGGCAAGAAGGGCGGATCAAGATCCCAGACGCCGAGGAAGTATCGTTCGCAGAGTCCCCCTGGTTCAAAGCCCCAGGTGTGCAAGTTCTTCAAAGCGAACAGATGTGAGAGAGGGAAAGATTGCCCATGGCAGCACCCCGCAACTTCCAAGGCAGCTCCAGCCCCAAAGGCCGAGAAGACCACTAGTGGAGACACCCCCAAGACGTCGCCGAGAGACAAGAAAAAGAAAAAGGGGAAGAAGGGTAGCAGGCCTTCTTCTCAAGATTCGAAAGATTCAAAGGGTTCTCAGTCCCTCAAGTCTCCGCGATCGTCAAAAGGCAGCAATGCTGCGGTGTGCCTCCTCCAGGCAATGGTGTGCGCCGCGACCCTCGACTCGGTCGCCTCGCATCCTTGCTTGCCTAGTGTGACTCACGATGTTTTCCAGAGTATGCCATGCATCAAGAAGTGCGTGCAATTTTCTGATTACCCATCCATTTCGAACTATGAGATTGACGGCGAGCTTTGGCCCTACACTGCCTCGTCGAGAAGGTTTGCACACGAGTTTCCTGTTGATTATGTTCCGAAGTTCGATGAGAGAGCCGTCTCTGACGCAATTCTTATCGGCACCATGCATGAAGCTATGATGAAGGATTTGCTCAAAGGCACGAAGACTCCTTGCAAATTTCAATGCGACTCTGATTTCGGTTGTGATTCCTGCATCCCCGCAGGCCTAACGGCCGAGCCAGAGAAGCCCGCGACCTCCCCCAAAAAGGGGAAAGCTGCTGTTGCTCGTATGACAATGGATTCTTCTCACATTCCGTGGATTGCAGATACAGGAGCTTCTCAGGACTTGCTATCGGGAACCGATGCGGAGATGGGATGTATTTACGAATCGTCTCAGCCCCTGAAATTTTCCACAGCTAATGGGAATATCATCGGTACAAAGCAGGCCAGGGTCAAGATCCAACAGACCGATAGTGTTGTTCGGCCATATGTTCTTGACAAGGCTCCATCCGTGTTATCCGTGGGTATGAGATGCCTCAGGGACGGATATGATTTCGTTTGGAGAGCCCACAGCAGGCCTTATTTTCGACTTCCGGATGGTTCACGCATCAAGCTCGAGGTCAAAGACAATGTTCCACTCATTCCCCCAGCAACTCATAATGCTGTTCCAGCTTTGTCACAGAGCATTCCAAAGGTTACATCATTACCATCAGCTCCCATTGAGATCGATGATGAAGTTCTGGTCATTGACGAGGAACCCGAAGCTGTTGAAGAGGTGCTTGTGACCAATGAGGATGATGGGGATGAATTGGGGAACGATGACTTCTTGCTTGAGGACACCATTAGCCAACCGGAAGATGAGGTCATTGAGGAGTGCCATGACATTCCCTCCGAAGATGCGCCTAAGGTCATCGCTTCCGATTTTGTGTCGAAGCCTATTTTGAAGGACGCCCCTCGCGAACGCGGTGAAGCAGCTTTGCGTGATGAGGCGACATCACTCCAGCACTTGATGTGTCACACTCCCAAAAATCCCTTTTGTGAGACTTGCAACAGGGCGAAGATGTACAAATATCCATCAAGACAAAAGGGAGGTTCCACTCAAGTCGAGGCCAAGAAGTTTGGTGATCACCTTACGGCGGACCATCTTATTACATCAGATGAGCGTGAAATCGGCATTGACCAATCTAGAGTTGCACTTGTTGTTCGAGATGTTGCCACTGACTTCCGTTATGTTTACCCAGCAGCACGGAAAACCTCTCATCAGTGTGTGATGGCATTCAAGCACTTTGTCCGCACCGGGGAAACCGTGAACGTGTTTTACAGTGATCGGGCTCCTGAACTTGTGAAAGCGGCAGATCAATTGGAATGGAAGCATGTTCAAAGTACAAACTACATTTCCAAAACAAATGCTATTGCTGAGAGGAACGTCAGGGCGATTATCGAGGGCACGAGGACCAACCTGGAACAAGCTGGTTTGCATCATTCGTATTGGCCACATGCGGCCAAACATTATTGCATGGCGCATAACATCACGGACCACCCAGATTATTATTCACCATGGAAGGTACGTTTCGGAGAAGATTTGCCCGGACCATATTTGCCCTTTGGTTGCCAAGTCAACTTTTGGACCGGCCCGAGGAATCGACCCAACAAGCCTTTGAAGTTTGAACCTACTTCCAGGGCTGGAATATTTCTGGGGTATCCTATCCATCCTGACTTTCTTTGGCGTCATGAATTTCTCGTTATTCCTTTGCGAGATTTGATGGAGAAGGACTATGATCAACCTATTGCTCCTTTGAGGGTGAATCAAATCAAATGTCCAGATGGCGAATTCTCTTTTCCAATGGTCGAACGGCACTTATTGCACATGAACGGCGTTATGCCGGGGCTTGAATACGCTCCTGAGACGCCCGATCCAGCTGCATTAGATGCGCCGCTCTTGGAGGAGGATTTGCCGGCAGAGATGCCAGGCCAGGATGACATTGATGATCAGGAACATGCTGAAAACCTCGGAA